GATTTACAATGCATTGGGACAAAATGTCATGCGATTTATTGACAAAATGTTTGGGGTGGGGGTGGGGCAACAAAATTAATTACCCCCCCCCCCACATACGCACACACTGATATTGCTCCCCACCCCAATTTAAAAAAAATACACGTAAAAAGCTTAAATATATAGGTTTATTAATGGATATACTCATCCCCTTTGCCCCATACTGATTTGTGACATATGAATATATTAGCGATAAGAAAACAGGTGAAGAGCGCTCCCTAGCGCCAAATGAGGTCCAGACCAACTCCATTTCGAACACGGATTTATTTGCTCTAACAGTCTGTTTTGACATGAAATACAAGTCGGCAGTAATCGTCGTTAAAAAGGGCGCTCTTTAAAAAAAAAGGCATAACGCGGTCTTTGCACTTTCTGTATTGTTACAAAATTGGCGCACAAGAGGATTCTGTCAGCAATACTATTTCAAACATGTTTTATCATTTCTGATTATTGGAAATGTCTATATTCCGACTTTTCCTGAGTATAAACTCCATCGGTTTCCATCGGTTCCCACCGCCCGTAGTGTCGGATCTAGCCGCCTAGCCCGGCAAGTAAACAGTAGTATTGGAAATAGAAACAGTTGCAGTGCCAAGAATTAATATCACGCGACGACACTGATTGACAAAATTATTCAGCAGCACGGGGGGCCTCGCTGATACGTACACCTAAATATGTGGGAGGGGTTGACGGTGACTCTGTGATCACATAACGATGAAATTCCATAAATCGTAAAAAAAATAAAAAATAAAACCGAGAAAAGCTACAAAAATCGCAAACGGATAAATTGTTCTCATGAGACATTTGCAGATGGCGCATGTTTCGATTGATTTCATTAAAGTTAGTTTTAGATTTAGACGTCGAGTAAATTAAAGAAAGTGGAATTTTAAAGAAAGTGGAAGTGTAACGTGTTATTGCGTACGCTTAGTTAAATCTTTGTGATAAAATACTAGTGATGTTGTTAAACATTGTGTAGTGTGTCTTGGTTACCAATTTCTCATAATGTTGACTATCCACGCCCCCAAGAAATTTACTAGAGTGGGATATGAACCAGAGACTTCCGGATTGCGGCGTACCGTTGTCTACTAGCACAACTGGTTTCTGTATTATGCAGTGGCGTAGCCACGGGGGGGGGGGGCGTGGGGCGACAGCCCCCCCCCATGAAACCTTGTCGCCCCCCCAGTCGCCCCCCCCCCCCACTTGAGTTTCTAAAAAAATTATCATTGATCTACATGACGCCCCCCATGAAATGTTCCAGCCCCCCCCCCCCCAGCGCCCCCCACTGAAAAATTCCTGGCTACGCCACTGGTATTATGACAGTGAGCCCTAGTAAAGAAATTCTGCTTTGACGCTGTAAATGCAAAATCATCACTGCGCGCAAACAAAGCTAATTTCCTTGCTAAAAGTTGTGAAATACAAACAATTTGTCATCATAATATTTTCAAATCTTAGCGAAGTACGAGTATGTCTTAGCCCGAATCTGTGATCCGATCTAACAATATCCCCTAGTATTCTTTATAAATAGAAATTATACAACAATCGAAATAAAACATTGATAACTCTGCCAATTTTTCCAGCGGTGCACTGTTCCGTTATTTGTCTACGGTGTACTCGGCGGGACGCGCGGCTGAGGTGGTACAGCCGAGCCAGTTAAACAATTAAGGGCCGGGATTTAATCTTCACCGACGATGATATTGTCATAATTCATCAGTCTGGTACGTGGGCTGGGACGGGAATGCCTACCCCCCCCCTCCCCCAGGAAAACATTGATGGGTATAAAAAACACTAGAGAAGTTTCTTCTCTTTGTTTGATTGGCACAGGTTTGCGGACCAGACGTTAATGTGTTGTGTGTGTGTGTCTGTGTGGGGGATAGGGCGGGGGGGGGGGGGGGGGGTAGGAGTGCCCAACTCCAGCAGTTCGCGTGTCCCATATCAAAAGAAGATGGCAAATCCTTTTATTTGATAAACACTGTTCACGCGGCCGTTCTAGAATGATGAAATTATGTATCCAAGCAATGATCTCAAATACATGTCGTGACTATAATTCCCAGGTAGAAGTTCGCGTGGTTAGGACTATGCTAAACAATCTTCAGCTAAGCAGGTCGGTGAAATTTGGCCCAGGACTACAGCAGGGCCTTTGTCGCAGAAAGAACATAAAATTGCTAAGCAATTACGGTAGATTCAGAAAACTAGAGAAAGATCGATAAATCAAATATAGATTTCTGGAACTAAGGTGAAATAAATACTTCCGAATCTCACATTACACTCCAAGTAATAGTTTCCCAGTGTCATTTGCACTGTCAATGGCATTTTGTTGTTGGAAAGAAAACCCGTTGGGTCTGCAGCTGACAATGGGTACAGAAGTTCGCGTGCGAGGTGGACCATTCGATGAATACTAAATCAGCCAAACAATCAAACTCCATCGGACTGGAATATGCAGGTGCACAGCTCCGAGCAGTTTATAAACTAAACTTGCAAGGTAGCTGAAGTAGGAACCAGGCTGCTTTCTGTAATCTTTCTGTGGTCGATACCGGTCAAGTTTCGTTAAAGTGAGAAAGAGTTTTCTTCCCCACATTATGATAAATGGAGTTTGCGTGAGTAGTGTCCCGAGACTATCTCACGGTAGTGTTGTTATGTTCTTTAAGATCCTAGTGAAGTGCTTTCAACCTTGTTGCACTACTTCCACCACTTGAAGAAAAAAAAAACCTTAAACATCACTGAAAACTTCTCAAAGACTTACAAACACACTCCCACATTTGGTGAAATTGTCATTCGAATTCTACAGAACCTTCATTTTGAAATCACTTCACTCGCAAGATCATTGAAAAAAACCTACCATTTTGATTTGGATTCGGTCTTTCTTTTAGTTCGAAAAATAGTGTGGTGCCCTATGGTCTCCAACAATCGACCCCGTAATAATTATATCGTAAAGAATCTGACACAAAATTCCCCTAAGGCTGCCATCTGCGTCACAAAAGGAACGTGTGTGATACAGTAACAAAATCTTTGTTATTCGCCGTGAAAGACGCGTGGAAAGTCAAAGTTATTAGAACGATACTGGAGTACATCGCCAGAGGGAAACGCGTGTTGCTTTTCAAGGGTGAGTGGTATACGACCTTATCCCCACGTCTTCGTTATATCTGACTTTGCCACCCGTCTTGCATTGTATGAACCTTAAATATTTTCTGGGGTTAATGCAGTCATTTGTAGTGTATCGTTTGTTCCTTGGCCCGAAGGCAGATCTAATTTTCTCGCCAATTACACCCTCTACAGTGGTGTATATGGTCAGATTATTCGCAATCTTACACGAGTGGCTACTAATCATGGTTTTGATCATTTATCGATTAATCGCTACTCTTAAATTATCGATATGAATCGCAGAGAACTGCATATAGGGCCTAGGGCCTAACTTTGAAGAAGTCATCACAAATCACAAATCCAATTTCAAGCCGAGAAATAGAAAATTATAACAAATGTATTCCCTTAATTATTTGACAGGTGATACAATTTAACTTGTGTTGACTTGTGATTTGACTTGTGATACGACTTGTGATACCCCTAGTATTAGAAGTACTAGACTGATCTGCAGTTTCAGTAGCGTTGGACCTTTTTGTTGACTTTCTCTGACTTGTTTAGGAAAGTATATTTAGGTCACCTTCCGCCGACTGCCTTTCAGCGGTGAGAAAAAAATGTCACCAGGCCCATTCTCTGACTTGACATTCGGCAGGGATGGGGGGGGGGGGCAGTTCGTAAATCCTGCCAACGATGTGCCCTCCGACGAATCAATTTGTCCCCTCCCCCAAATCACTTTAAAAAGACCATCTTAACATGATTTAAGTTGACCCTGACAAATTGTAACCCAAACATTTGACTCGATATTTGACAAAAAAATATTTTCCAATAATACAAATTCAACTAACTGTGTTGTAAATTTTCTCTCGGTGGTAAAAACCAAACATCGCCTGGTGCCTTGCTTCAACGCGTCAGTACCGCTTAGGAATGGAACGATCTGACATAGATCGTTGCGTGGAATGGTATGGCCGCAGGATATGCAGGAATTAAAGTAATCCGAAGTCGCGCCATAACGGATGAAGAAAACAGGCGACAATGCTACAAAAAAAGGTTGAGAAAACTGGGGTATGGAATTTTATGAGGCAGGGAACAAAATGAGACATATACAATTATTATTAAGCCTGAAATTAGAAAGATATTGAGTAAGATATTGTGGGGCGGTTGAAGAGACATTATGGTAACGATTAAGAAGTTTGTTATATTGGCACACCTAATCGTATCCGAAATCACAATTGTTCTCGTCATCATCATCATGACATATCATCGTTATCATTTCATAACTGTCCTTTGTCTTCACAACCCCAATATGCCATCAGCGCCCAATTTCCTCCTGTTTTGAGACATTGAGTTATTAGTTTCATTCGGTCAATGCTGGAAAGAGTTGATGATGGCAAAGAAAATATTACCTATTACTCCGCGATATATATTTAAATTATACTTTACAACCTTACCCTTTAGAAAAAAAAGAATTTTTTTATTTTGCACCTTTTAACGTGAAAATGATCTCATCTGTAAGACAAGATACTCAAAAGTTTAAGATGACGTCAAGATGGATTAAATTAAAGTGGCTGAATTTTTTTTAAACATTCTGAAATTCAGTCAGGACAGAATTTACCTTTAGTGCATTGGCCTATGTGAACTTCGCTCCTGTTTTCAAGTAAACTTTGCAACGCATTCCACGCAACTTGCGGCGAGACCTCTTTAACGCTGTCCGCAAACTCCGCCCAATCAAAGTGTACCGCGATGATTGACAGTCCCGGTTTTAGAAGACACCGCCTCCGATTGGCCGCCAAGCGCGCGGCTGCGTTTCATCACGACCAATCAAAGAGGAAGTCAAACAGTCACCGCCTACCGGCACTCTTTGATAATACGCGTGTTTGCTCATTGATGTGGAACGCCAGTGTGCGTGTAGTGTGCCTGTTGCTGCATTCTTGCCCTGCGAAGTAGGCTGTCACAACATTAAAATGCGAGTTCAGTTCTCCTTGCTCCATGTTTGTTGCTGCTCGTTTTTCTTCTCTGAAACCCAGGAATATTATCACAGTTGGAAGGATAGTTTTGCTCTTTCCTTGTTGGAACTGGAAAAATTACCGTGAACAGCTGCCAAAGGTGAAAATCTGTGTGAACTTTTGAGGTTACTTTTTTGGGGAGAAATCCGTGCGACCTCTGCTGATCAACTGCGATGGATGTAACCACGTTACGGTGTTGTGAGTTTTCGTGTCTGATCTTGCTCTGCGTTCTTCCCGCGACATCCAGGGCATCGTGGATGTAAGTATAACCTTACAGTCATTGATTTTAATCTTCAGATCAATCTTATTGCAATCCACATGTGAACTACTTACTTATCGGAGCAGAAATATTCCAATTAATAACTTTGAAATATAGTTTGAGCCTGCATGGTTACTTTATTAAGAAGAAAATTTCTTCGTAAACTTTGATTTCAGTTGTACGCACTCTATAATTGCCCTGCTCCTTGTATGCAAATCTGGACCTCCGACAAAACGTCTCAAGGATTGATAATTCCACGGGGATGTTGTTCATTTCTAGCATGGGTGTCCCTTCACCTAATTGCATTTTTGTAAGATTTCTCAAGCATGAGAAAATGTCTCAATCATGGTAAGTTTGTTTGTGGTGTCGTGTGAAGAGGGATATATAAACTACTAGTTCTGTTGAGGGTCGTATTGGGATGCATCGTGCACGAGAAAGCAACTCATTCGACTCATTTGCACCATCTGATTCATTCGATTAAATTGAAGGGTAAACTTTGAAATTGTAAAATCTAGTAAATAATCGAGGAAGAAATCTAGGGTTTGGTTTGTGATAAACGATCCATATACACATACATCATTGTTCTCGTGTGTGGGGAATTATTGTAGAAACTATTTAGTTCAGTCGTTAAGGCTTCATGTTTTTCTGCTGAAGGAGAGGGGTAGATAATTTTTGGGAAGGAAGTATTTTTTTGGGGGGGGGGATGACAGGGACAATATTTGGAAAGGACTAAAAGCACGGTGCATCGAGCACGTGCTCGGTCATGCGTTGACTCCGTGTATCAGTGGTTCCCATCTGGGCCCAATGACATTGAGCTGCTTATCAGAAATTTATGCTCAGCATATTTGCTTTTTAAGCAAAAAGCGGCTGTGAACCAATCAAAAGCGATACACATCTCCACACATTTTGACTGGTAACCAGGTTTATATTTGCTAAGCAAATATATTCTTAGCTTAGCCACTTTCTACCTGCTTAGAAGCTCCAGGAATGGTGTCCCTTGACGTTGATGTCTGGGTGGTTTCGTTCGCCGGGCCAGACGGCAGCACGAACCGCTGCCAACACGCTCCTCGGGGCAAAAACGCGCCGTGCGCGTCAATTCCAATTACCGGAGATTTTGCCCAGAAATCCGCCGGTCAATAATGCTATCTTGCAGTTCAGTATATAGCGGAGTGTTTACCGTCACGGGAATTCGATTTGTCAATTTTTATACCCCAGACAAACTTGTGATCTCCGCAGGGGGATAGGGTTTCCGGTTCCCAAATTGCTAAAAAATTGGTCACAATTTGTTTTAAACAATCATAAAATCCAGTAGAAAACACATTGTGTTGAACTGTTGCGATGTTCCCGCCCCCCCCCCCCCAGAAACAAAACGAATCATTCCTTTATTTTATAAGTTTCTGGAATAGTTCATATTATTTCCAGAATCACAAGTGGGCTGTTTTAGCTGGTGTGTTTAAAATCTGTATATGTTATGCCTGTTGTGGCCTACGTGATTTAGCAATCATTGTGCAAATACATTGACTGTAAAAATCGGCGGTTTATGGCCTCATGACCATGCTCTGACATACCATGTACAATACAATAAAGAATTGTTTTCGGTTTTATAAGTGGGCCCGCATGCAGCTGTGCAACGCTAATAACTTGTGTCTATAGGTCGTCCGTAAAATAAAGAACCCAAAAATAAAGTTTATTTGCAAAGTGGCAAGAGCAATTATGTAAAAATGTAAGGTCCTTCCTTGTGCATTCTTCCATTACAAAGCATCCTTGAAATCCGGCAATATAGACCGATTGCATTGAGCAGCCATCTTTGTGGTGTGTTTTGTTATGTTAATTTATTAACAATCAATGCAGAATAGGACTACTCATTGGTATCCCTGTTGAGCATATATTATACCTCATAAGGCATATATTACCTGTACCTCATAAGGCATATATGACATGTACCTCATAAGGCATATATTACATGTACCTCAAAGATGGCTGAGGTGCAAACAATCTGAAGGCTAAACTGTGAAGCTATAGATGGCTAAGTTTCCCCCGTCTCATATCTTACCTGACACGCACGGGCGTACGTTTGAGGTTAGGTTAGGTCACTAGTGGTGCAGGTCTACTCGGTCCCAAGCCAAGTCGTTCTGAGTCAACCTGGTCCCTGGTCAACTCAGAACCGAGTTCACTTGGGACCAAATTGACCTGAGACCAAGTTCACCTTGGACCAAGCCAACTGCGTCCTAAAGGCTAAAAAAAAGTAGGCCCCCCCCCATACTCAGTCGTAGGTCATTTTGGTCCGGACTTCCAAGTAAGGGTAGAAGTCCCAATTTGTATCCCTTATGAGGTCACCTACCTTCATTGTTTTGTGGGCCTAAATGGTATAGAATATGACGGCAGCTGTTAATCTCAACTGATTTCCCAAGCTTAAAATACATCTCTTCCTAAGATTTACCCCGTATATGAAAATTCAATTTTCCATAATTTGTAGACCTTTTTTCATCTCTGATTCATAGGTGGCTCGGAATAGCGTCCCTGGGTACCGTCAACCAGCCCAACGACCTAGGCCTACCGGCCAGCAGCAGCAGCAACCCCGTCCTTCCACGGCCTACTTCCCCGGGCGAGTCGGTCTGTTCCCTTGTTCCGGGACTGGCTACCGAGCAGCGTGCCGTGTGCGAGAGGAGACCCGAGGCCATACCGGTGATCGGAGCGGGAGCACGGCTGGGGATCGCCGAGTGTCAGCGGCAGTTTCGAGAGGAGAGGTGGAACTGCACCATACACGATCAGGAGCAGAACGCATTTGGAAAGGTGCTCAAAACAGGTAATCTTATCCTAATATAACCTTAAAAGAATCGAAAACATGCGAACTTTTACCCACCAGCTGGGAAAGTATAGACCATTATCATGTTGCGGCCATCTTGATTTTGACCATTCAAATCAACGTAACCAAGGCGAGGTTGGAAAGAAAAATCGTCTGGTTCCTTTTTGCACAAAGAACATCATTCAGTACTGTTATAGGATACAGGGAACATGACTGAAATGGTGTCAGCATGATAAAACTCTATACTGGGGCAAGTTTGACTGTTCTGTTGTCAAATCCGCCTGACGTTTTGAGAGTGTGATGCCGTCAAACTCGTGGGCTATTTGACATGCACAATGAGTGTACCCCCACAACCATGTCACGTACAAACGTGGATGTTGTGGTCAACATCAGGAAACTGTTCTCTTCTGCGCTGCACGTGTATCTCTGGAATTAAGTGGTTTAAAAGTATGGACATTTACCGTTTAATGGACAAAATAAAAGGAGGTGTTTGTTTTGCCTTTCGGCTGTCTCTTGGCGTGACGTCACAGGTGACGTGGTCAATATGTGGAAAATATTACAGGCTACATAACCTCCTTTATTGGGCCAGAAACCATAAACTGTACGTAGCTTATTTTGGTCTGGTTATGTAGAAAACACTGCGAATTTTCAGCTCATACTGCCTCAACGCCCAGCAATAATTGCACACAATAAGATACTCCCAGACCCACCATGTATCCGTTCTATACTTTATTGACTCCATTGACTCCATCATGTCCTTAACTCGACAGCTCTTCTTTTCTTCCAACCTCTCGCACTGTCCCAAGTCCCTCCCCCTGGAGCAGCAGACACAACAGTTGTCTAGTCAGAGAATTATTTGGGCAGTACCCCCAAGGACACCTATCGGTGTCAGAGAATCCCCTCAAAGGCCCGCCGCAACCACCCTCATCCTACGGTCACAGCACCCGATCCCTTGCCCCATTAAACCCCACATAAAAAAAAACCCGTGTGCGGTCATCATTTACACCCGTGTGCTTTTCGGCTTTTCTTTTCTTCGGCGAGGGGCTCCTTATAATCGCATAGCCTCATTCATCCATTAGAGGAACTAAATCCGACGGTTTCTTTTGAGGATCATTCCCGTCTTAATATTTTCTCAAGGTCTGAACGAGACAGAACGAGATAGCGAGTGATTGTCATATTTCATGCGCGGGAGCTATTCGTTATGCATTGATAGATGGTTAGGTCTGTGGACCTTAGAGACGGGGCAATGCGCCTACAATTCCTCAGTTCCACAGTCATAATATCATTTAACAATCCTGGCGTTGCAAGTACCTTTAGAATGTCACAACTGTATTGAATGAGGGTACTTTATGCCTTTTTTTGTTCGAAAGTCAACTCAAAAAAACATCAGTGATGAGTTAAAAAAAATTCTCAAAAGGTTACCATTTGTCTTGTGGGCAAAGATTATCCTGAGGCCTATTTCTTACATTCAGGGACAGATTATTGTGAGAAAGCCACAAACAAAATGAAAGAATTGTGTCAGCTTTGTCGGCTGTAATACAGCTCTGTCGGTTGTAATAACTTAAATACATTTTCCATGCAATTGTCTTTGCTTAGGCCCTACAACAAGCATACTGAGTTATAGCTACTATTTTGTGAGTGACTGTGTGTACTTCATGTGACGCATCCGAAAATAGAAAGAGAATATGCCAATTGTTTCATCGGCTTGTGCGTCACCTTCCAAAAAGTTCGGTATAATAACATAATGAGCGTGAAACAAATCACCTTTGAGCAAACACACACGATCCAAAGGGATGACGTGTCTGTCGAATATCGACTTTAAAAAAGGGACTATGTAATTAATCAGTTAAGACAATAATTACACTAGCGTGACCGGATTTTACAAAGCCTAATCGATGACCTTTGAATTGTTTCCTCGACAACTTCCTAATTAAATGAATGAAGATCGGGGACAACAATTATTGTCATCTTGTTGTCTCTGTATAGCCTAGTTTAAGCAACAACTCCAAATAAATAAACAACAAACAGACAAACAACAGGGGGGAAAACTCGTTTAAATTTTCATGAGCTTGATTTTTACTTGTTCTTGTTCTTCGGTTTTTGACCTTTATATTGCAGAGTATTTGGCTTCCTTTCCACCCCCTTTCCCCTTACCAAACCATGCATCAATGAGATGCCGTAATCTCCTATTAATGTACTCCGCCATGTTACTTTAATGCCTCGACCCCGTTGGGACTCATGTCTGTCGGAAGATCAAAGCATGGAATATTTTGTCCCGACGTCCTTTACCCAGATCCGCTTTGTAAAATGTCATTATAGAAGGGTGTTGATTATTTATTTTGGCGAAATCTTCTCTTCAGCCTCTAGTCGGCTTTTCTTCTTTGGCATTTCGTTGGTTTTTTTTTCCATCTGATGCGAAGGCTAAGCCGTGTATAGGCCTACTCTTTTTAAAATGATGCCTTCAAAATGTGCCTACAAAATGGTCAGAAGAACTGCAAGTACCCTTTTCACATGGTTATTGGTCGTAATTCAAAGGAGTGGGAACTTAATTGTGTAAATACCCGGAGACTCGCCTGCGAACAGAATTGTTGCCGAACTAACTGTGCAATTAATTAGGCCTACTCAGTGTGGCTTATTTGCCATTCACAAAGAAGCAATTTATCGAAGTCGGCCCCGTTTAAGTCAAATGTCCCATACCAATTCCCAATCCAAGGGAAACTTTTGATTTAGTGTTGCGTTTGATATACCTTCGTGTCAGGTGACGCAAACGGAGTTCTTTCTTTGTATTGCCATCGATGTTCGTGTGGAATTCATAAGTTGTGCGTGGGTTTTCAAAGTTTTATTTGAACTACGAAAGAAAACAAAATATCCACCATCCTGTACAAATCATGGTTCTTGAACTATGCAGACGTGGATTGAGGTACCGGCATTTTCTTGGCCTATACACTCAGAAAACATCATCTTAATCAACAATAACAAATCGCCTTGCACTTGAAAACTAAGACATTGGAAAAGTAAAGCAGCTAGGCAGGTTGTCAATCATTCTGCCGAGTGAAAAGTCAGTCTGTAAACTTGTTATCAATCACAGTCTATACCAGCCAGTCAAATACATCAAGATCAGTCAGTCATCCGACCGAATGACGATGACGTAAACGGGTCTGAAGGGATCTGCCCTCAACATTCTGTTTCAATTTGTCAGCTTCTCCGTTTTGGGGTGTATTTCTTTGTGTCTTGTTTCCGAAACACGATTTGCAACCAAAACACAAACTTGGGACGATCATTGGCAATCCAAACAGCCTGGCCGTGTTTCACAACACGCCCTGGGCCATGCACGGAATTGGGTGTGCGACTGACCTGACAAATCTCGTATCCTATTCCTTAAATCTCTAATGTCGGAGAACAAATCTAATTGTTTTCAGTTTCCCTTACACACACATTCCAAAGGGTGGAGTGACTGACAGACGCAGAGGTGAAGTTACATAGCCTTCCAATTAAGACTTTAATTTCATCAGATCGCGATTAGGTGGTTTAAGTCTGTTGAAAGCATGGGACCTGGCAACCGTAGACTTTGACTTGTGGTCGGCATGTAAAGGATTTTGTAACTTTTCGTCAGAGCCTTAAAGCTCAAATTCATCGGGGCAGAGGTTAAGACTATGTCTGACTCCAAATTTGGCAGAAACAGCCGGGTTAAACCTTTTCCGGTTGCACCAAATCCCCTTAATAGATTTTATTCCATATTTTTTTCGCAAACGATAAGAGCCTAAACGAGTTTCAAATTCCACAACCTCCAAGACTTATATTGCAGGAGGTCTAGAAAATTCGACAATAGTTCTAGCTGCACCGACCTCAAATTTCTCAAAAGTAAACAAAGGAAACTTCTGTGCCACGTCTAATTTGGTCAGGCGCGTCATATCTGATGGGATGAAAATTGAATTTGGCATATGAGACTTGTCCCTTGAAGGGCTTCCGTAGTTGTAACAACCGTCAACCACTGGTCTCTGACTACAACATCACCAGTCGTCTCGCGTGACTTCAGCAGAATAGCGCGAGTTTTGGGGGGGGGGGGGTTTGTACAGAGATAGTGTTTGTAAAAACAAGACAAGGCAAGCCTATAGTAAAGCTGGTCCCAGACCTCACCAAATTCTATTCACTTGATTTCAAAATGTCCATTCATTGAAAGTCTTTTCATGCATTTGATCTACGTATAATGAGCCGGATATAACTCATTAGTTGGCGTTACGGGGTAATCCTATACGATAGCACTGCCCAGCTGATTAGTGACAGTCAGTCGGCACGGTCAGTCAGTCGAGGAGTCAGTCAGTCAGCACGGTCAGTCAGTCGGGGTGTCGGGGAGTAAGTCAGTCAGTGAGATAGCCTACAAAGTGGGTACTATAGGCTGGTACCGTTGGCACCGGCAAAAAAGGTTATAAAAATGTTAAAATTAGACAGTTGTCATTGTGGTTTCATAGTTAAGGTTATAGCTTATGAACTTCTCATTAATACCAATCATGGATGAATGCGCACAAGTGGTTTCAAAAACAAAAGCTGACACTTCTTGCTAAAGTTGGTCTGTTTCCTACCTCCATGGCCTGACTCAGCGGTGGCATGAGCTGTCCAAACAATGCTCCGTAAGGAAAGGTTTGTGGACCTGCCCTTTAACACAACGTCCCTAGTGAGGCGCGCAATGTTTGGACAACTCGACTCGATCACCTCTGATTCAGACCAACCTAGATAGTCATCAGTGACTGTAGGGGTACAAGACAGTAAGGTATTAATTTGGGAGAACTGGTGAACCATTACAAAAAAGATGCAACATACATTAACACCAAACCAGTTTTTTTTCCGGATTACTTTTGCAATTTTATACACTCTGTTAAGAGGTTTATCGAGAAAACCGGTTATGAATGCGTGATGAATAACAGGGGAGTCATGTAGACCTATATAGGCCTACTAGGCGTAGTGATGGGTTCCTCTTCTCCACTTCTGTGACCCCGAAGGAGATCGAATCCCAACCTGGCCGTTAATAGGATTGGGAGTTCAGTAATTAATGCCTGATTCCTTGGGTTTCCCTGCAGCATCTTTCCTGGGTTTCCTCCCATCTCACGGATAACGTTTTGCCCAGGCCAAATTTGCGATACATTGCCAATACATTTCAAAGAACCGCTGGTTTCATTACTCGATAATAAATTCAAAATAATGAGCTCTATATTTAAGAGAAGATTAAGTAGACGTTCATATCAAAATTTTACACTAAATTTTATCACAACTTCGGTCACAGGTAAATCACAAAGTCAAACCACAAGTCCGGTCACAAGTAACAGTGGATGAACAACAACAAAATAATGGGTTTTTTTAATCACAGTTCAGTTGAATAGCTTACTTTACTTGGAACTGAATGACTTGTAATGGACTTTTGAGGACGGTGTGATTTAATCGACATTGTAAATAAATAAACAGTAAAATATAAAAATTGATCTTTTAATTGACCCTGTCCCTTTGCCCCACCCAGGGAGCCGCGAGACGGCCTTCGTTTACGCCATCACCAGCGCGGGCGTGGTCCACGCCGTGACCAAGACATGCAGCCTGGGCAACCTGACCGACTGCTCCTGCGACGACTCGCGCAACGGCCTGGTCAACTCCGAGGGCTGGCAGTGGGGCGGATGCAGCGATAACCTGGACTACGGCATCACCGTCGGTAGGCAGTTCGTGGACGCGGCCGAGGTACGGAAAGGGGAGGAGGAGGAGGGCAAGGCGAACCGGGTCAGGAGCGCCATGAACCTGCACAACAACGAGGTTGGGCGACAGGTGGGTTGAAATTCAAAATGTTAGCATTGTTAACTTTGGGAAGGCGATTCTAAGTTGTTTACAGACAGTTTCCACAGAGCGCCCCAACTGTGGACAGGATTTTTTTTAATTCAGTGACAATGAATGTATAAAGTGTTTACTCATCACAGAAAAAAAAAACCACAGACTTGTCCACAGTGATCTGGTACACGGTATCCTGTGGAGACATGTGCACAACAGGGAACAAACGATTGTTTACGTCTCCACAGAGCAATTTCTATAGGTGAATACGTCTCCACAGGGTTATCACGAAATAGATACATGGATTTAACTCAAAAAATAGGAATTTCCAAGGTGTGTTGTAGTGTCGCAGATTGAAGTATTTTATGTAAGGGATATTAAATCCGAATTTTAGCCCAGGAAATTAATTCTGGTTAAAATAGGAGCATTTTGAAAGTACACTTTCAAACTCGAAAACTTTAGTACACGAGAACAAAGAAATGACTCCACAGGCACAAGGATACAAATTCCAGTATGTGTGAATGGGCTCTGAGCAGCAACGTTCGGTCACAACCTAACACAGTAACCACTTCCGCCTACACAACTACCCATTTGCTTTTGGCAATTGGAGTTCTGTGTCTTGTCTTAGGGCACCGGTACCTGCGATGATCTAATTTGGTCTCAAATCCCACTCGTCACTCTTCACACTCTGGAGGTAGACATCAAAACACTCCTGCAGGTCCTTTCTCAGAAAACTAATACATGAAAATTAATACATTTCTGAGAAGCAATTAGAAGGCCCACCATATCCACCCTGATTTTTCTGTACTAAGACAAAGTAATCGTTAAACTTCGCCTATCTTGCCAACCATATATCCATTGTCTCTTTTTTATAGCCCTTTGACGATAGATTCGTCAGGTACAAAATGTAAACAGTTTTTCTAGCTTTCACAACACGCAAACAAATAGGTCTCTTTCTTCTCTAATCTCCCTATAAAGTTTTTAAAGAGGCAATAAAATCTTGGGCAGTAAATACTGTGATTCCTGATAATGTTTCATCCTTGTCTTTTAAAGGATCCCCGTTTCATATTGACGCATGTTTTGGGTTAGTAATGTTAATTCCAGATTTGTTATCATGGCGGCATCTCGAAATGAACATCAGAATGGGTAGGAAATTGTAGAAATCGTGCAAGAAAATGTAGTATTTTTTCTTCAATTTTCATGATGGCTAACTTTCCGTTCCACCTTTCAGCCGCCTATTGTTGTAGTAGCAAAACTTGCATTGGATTCGAAAGCACGCAGCTCTGTGGTCCGTTTTTTATGATTTGTGCAAACAGTGTGGTGCACCTCATTATGGGCTCGGCCATGTTTGCTGATGTCATCGTCGGCACATTTCAGATACAGTGAACCAGACAATTAACTGGACCTTATCAGTTGGCCCATTCCTGTTCCTCTTCAGAGGTAGACCATAACTTAGGTTTGGACAGGTGGACATTATGGCAGCTTTACGTTTCTGATGGAAATTTATAGAAATAGACAGAAATTGTTCGTATACAAGTAAGAATTATGTACTTTTTTACACTCAAGACAAGTGTGGTAAAAAATAATATTCTGCTTGGACGAACTGCTGCACTTATGGTGTAGCCTTTCCTTACCAAGAACTTGATATCTGCATTGGAGACAATCTTTGTTATGACTCATTCTTTCATATCAGAAAGGGAAGCCAATTCCGACGAACAGCCAATTAAAAGTATCGATTCATGCCACCTTTTTGTATTGTCTTACTAAGCAAACTATGCAACAACCACACAATCGTTATACTGCAGCAATTTGGTTCACAAAAGGCGCAACATTCCTGCAATCTTTGCTTTCTGTACACCACATCTGAGAGAATCGCACCTTGTTGTGAGATACCGATATCTGCTAAATACCACCACTTAACCAAGATAAACACTGTTGACTGGGTGGATTAACACGTACTTAACACTGGATTAAAAAAGACAAAACTTGAGCGCAGGTATATAAGCGAATCAGTAAACAGCCAAGATCGTACGTCTGAAAAACGGTGACGTCATCTACATGTTTCTGGGTATCTCCAAACCCCCTTTGCAAAAAACAAAAAAAACCTGGATGCGTTTGGTATGAATTTGCTGCCAAAGAATGTGTGATAAAATGGCTAAATTGGTCTATGCTTCAACTCATCCCAGTTGACCCAACTACCCAAATACATTAATTCCTTGTATGTAAAGCATTTTCAGTTACACCGTAAAAAGCACATAACGAAATTCGAATTTGATGTAGGGTTTATCTCATTAACGCCTCCAATGTGCAAATTTGATGAACTCAGTGCTTCGTTGACGAAAATCATATATTTCTTTTCAAAACTAAAGGCCTATTGATTACATGTAAATCTGTGAGCCAACCAAACTTTAAAGCCACTTCTGAAACATGGTGGTGTTTTTTCGTGCTTTTCTTGAGAATATTGAACCAGCATTATTTCCGATCGACACCCATACCTGGTCCTTTCTAAATATAAAAAACTATAATGGAGTCTGTGTTCATATCCAATAACTATTAAAAAGTTATACTCAATTTGATGACCAATTTTTGGTATAGCCTGCCTGAGAAAGAAATGTATTGGCGTCATATCCCACGCTCAACCGTCGCCTTCTGGCAAAATGATTGTTGTCATCCAGTTGCGTGTGCTTGTCATCATAATCTTCTTTATGTGACAACATTGTTGCTTTTCTTATCCATACAAAAGTTTCCTGCGCCCCAAGTGCCACAAAATGGCAACATCATAATATAGACTATACGGTATCGCGTAAAATTGCGAAACTGGTTAAACCACGGACCCTACCGCAAATGCGCCACCTCGTAAAGGAAGGAAATTCCCCAAACAGATCGTAAATTATCCCTTAAAGCTCAGCTAGCTGGCAAGGTCGTTCCATATTTTTTCTCCCCACACGGGTCATAAAATTACTGGATCTGATGAGGGGAGGTACCGGGGTCTATTGTGGAGAAGATCCCGGATTAGTGAGCTGTAATAATTGGTGCCGACTGGGTCCTTTGTCAGGGTGTGTAATGGACGGGTGTTGTGATACGGTAATTACAACAAATAGGCAGGGATGAACGGAATAACTGGCATGCCGCCGGTCCTACAAAGAGAACGAGACGAAGAGAATTAAGTGTCAGAATTCTGTTACAGGGCCATCAATCTGTCTAGACTCGTAGGAAATTGTAATTGTCAAAATAATTTAGGGAAAAATTATCCGTCTTAATCTCATAATTATTTACTTATCCCTGAGGGTTTAATAGGACCTGACGGGGATGGTTGAAGAATCAATGAGTGGAGGATATTGCAGTAGCAATATTTACATGTAGTGTAGGCCTATGTCCTTTTTTTTGCGTTTGAGGAAAATCCTGCTATATCGAAACGTCATGCCCTCTCACTTTCTTGACTTATTCTTGTGTGAGTTCAGTCAAACTGCGAAGAATCATCAATGTTTTGAGCGGTGTGCTCTATTCATCTTCCCAAAGATATAGTTCAAGTCCTGTCAACATGATTATTGTAAAATAAAAACGCAACGAGTAAAGACTGGCTACCACTTTGTCACAAACCTATCTTCGTTCTCAATCCCCGGATGGCGTTTATCATACGTTTCCATAACACTGGACGATTGTTTATTAAGTTATCCGCAACTCTATAAAGTCAATCACAAGTCACCCAGTCTCAATTCAAAATGAGAGGTTTTTCTATTGAACTTGAAAAAAAGGTTTTCCATTGTCATGTTCATTTTCAGTAAATTGTGACTTGACTTGTAGTCACAAATCTAACTCAACGCTGTACTGACTAACTCAACGCTGTACTGACTAACTCAACGCTGTACTGACTAACTCAACGCTGTACTGAAAAGTCTGTGTTGGCAAGAAAAAATTGACAGATCAAGTAATGATTTTCTTGCATAGTGTTTCCTTGTTTTCCATTTTCCCCCCACCTCCAACAGTCTTGCTCACTGGCTCAACACCAACTATTTGTAACAGTTAATTCTCCTTGAACTATCGTGTTGCAATTTGCCCAGTGCATGCCAAGGGCGACCTCAGGTTGACAACCAATCCCATACTAACCGACGCTCGGGATGTCTTACCAATTATACTCAGCGTGAGACACCGTGAACCCAACACCGCCCAGCGGCGCGTTGCGCCCCGTCAAGTCCCTGAAACAACACCGCTGAAATTGAAACAGTACATGGCGCTACCCGTGCTTGACTTTTCGCCGCAGTTATTCAACTTCGGTCATTTTATCCAAACAGTTTTTCAAATTCAGTGGTTGTTTTGCTGCCCTCATCCCCTTCAAGCTGTCACAACTGATCACAATTACGGACTTGGGAAATTTTCGAGCAGGCATCGTTTTTTGGACTTTTTGTTGGCAGTATTTTATGGAGAAAAGTTGTCTTTGGTCCTAACATCTCCTTCTTTATTTGTTCCGTGGGACGACAAAAGATCAGGTTTATTTCATACATTATTGTAGTGTTTTTTAAATATATAAAATCGAAGTTTAGCTACTATAGTTCGTTGCACAAAATTGTAGGCCCTTAAAAATACCTATTTTTCTGTAGCGTTTACCCTGCAGGATTGCTGCACGTTTAACCTCTAAAAACCCCCAGGAATTGTCGGTCCTCAATTTGTGGGTGTCGGCATTATACCCGATGAATGACCCAATTAAAAACGGTTGCACCTTTAAGGGTATTTTCCTCGTCCGTCTAACCTTTTTGCCGATTTTATCTGTGTATCGATTTCAACTTGGTACCTCAGATCCCATATTTTTGTTACCAAGCACGTACATGTGTAGTGAAAATCCCTTATGTTCTGTGATCAACCGTGTAACATAATAGCCCGGTATAAATAACCTTAAGTATTTAGGTCAGCCTTGAAACTATTTTGGATTTGATACAAAAATTCATTTCCAGGATCGATGGAAGGGCAGTCGCTTCTTTTTTTAAGCAAACGACGGACACGTGTGTGTCCCACCTGATATTGTTGTGTAAAACAACAAGAAACAGAGAGATTCCCCATTCCATGTGTGGTCTCCTCCGTTCCAATCATCACCTTGTCGACAGCAAGCTTTCAACACTCGAAATGAGACTAAGGAAGGCCAGAACATGTATGGCACGCTTCGTAGTTTCAAGTCCCCCAAGACTACGGACCCAGTCGTCAACACCTGCAACATCATTGTGTCTCGACAATGGAAGGAATGTGGCGTTTGATGAAACCTTTTGTCTTCCTTTTGATGTTGACGCAGAATGGTAGAGTCTGTGGAGAATTGTTCTCTCGTCAGAAAGGTTACGCTAGGGACACCCGAGGTTACTCCAGACGTGTCTTCATAATAGACTTTCGTGTTCTTGAGTCTCTATTTTTAGCAGGTTGTCAATTAAGTTAAGCAATGCAACTGAGTTTCCTCTCCAAGTTATATTGACTGAGTTGCATTCCATAGCAGACCGATGTTGACCAAAAAAAAAACAGTGACGAATCGTTTATATAAAATTGCTCAGTAAACTGCTAACTGACTGGATTGGCCTCAAATAATAATATACAAATCAAAATTTAAAATGTCCTGATATTTCAGCCTTTTGTAGCAAGGCCTTCTTAATCCTCTGTCATTTGCCTCTGAAGGCCTTGCTATAATAAGGCTGAACTATCAGGCCGTTTTATGATTTTGAATCGTTAACAGTTATACCTAGTGAACTTCGCTTGTAACGCCGCCTATTCAATGACGTATTTAACTCTTCCTCAAAAACGTTTGTAAAGGGAACTTTTAAATACTGTGGATAGCTCACAGCCATCCACCCCTTTACGGTGAGCAACCAGAAATGTGATTCCAAGGTATAGACCATGTGCCCTGTGACGTCATGCCGATGGGCAACCACCGGGCAACCCAAACCTATTAAGCATCTTTTGCATGTTGATTGGCTCAACAGTTTATGTCAACACTATAGTAAAGTCTGTCACGATCGAATGGGGCCCATCAGGCCGGTGTTTATCTCCAGTTTCAGTATAGCATGAAATGACTGAGGATGTTTCTGTTCCCCATGGATGGGATGCTAGTCCATCGCAGGTTACTCCCCAGCTAATGCCGGATCCTGGGTGATGCAGAGATGCAACTGGGGTTGAAGTGGTTTGCCCAAGGACACGACATTATAACCAGCGGCTGTATTCGAACCCCTGACCCTCTGATCATCAGTCACGAACCCTGACCACTAGGCCACCCCCGCCCCGCCCCCGCCCCCGCCCCCGCCCCCGCCCCCGTCAACACTTTTTAAACAATCCACATATCAAGAGAACGTAAATGCACATGAAAGGTTTGCTGAAAGTTGGCACCACGTGACCACAACATCCAATTTTGTAAACAAATGGCACATGGTATGTACGTTGCGCTGCATTATGGGACGGTTGGCGATGCAGAAATCCCCGTTCGAAACGCAACTGTCCCTTGATGCAACGCAGTATAGGCATATACTTCCTAATTGGCGTAAATTGGTCTGTGATATAGCCTTTATGGGTGCAGGTCAATAAAAAGACCCAAAATTGCTTACGTGGGCCAAATCACGATTTGAATGTCCTCTTTTTTTTGCTATTAGAGCATTTTATTGGCCATAACCTTGAGGGTTTGTAAAAAAAAAATTAAAAGAAGGATGAAACCCACAATCAGGTTCGCGACATTGTATTTCTGTGAAATTTAGATGACATTATAAGCCCCAAAGTTTATCTTTTTTCACGATGGAGCGTATAGCATCATTTTTCAAAATGGCGAAGGGCTTCAGGACCACTTTTATAGGTTGATCACCTGTTCTCCTACTTAACCCCCCCCCCCCCCGCTGAAATTAAATAGAAATATGAAAGATGATGAAATAAGCCTTGATTTGATACGTCTCTCAAACACCATGGAGAGTTGTTGAGTACTTCCCTTGTGGTCAATATTTTTCCAAAGGGCGTACTGCACGGACGCCATGAGGACGAGGGTGATGCGCACGTTTAATGACCCCGGGTAAACCAGTTAAACAAAGTCTTTCCAATAAGAAGTAGCGGAAATTAGCCGTCAATCTCAGCACATGCAACATAGTGGTTGAAAATTAATCTTTCTACATTGACCACAAAGTATTTTTTGTCGCGATTCAGTTCACACCGGCGTCGCTTTTATTATTGGATTTAAACTGGGCGACGGACAGTCATCCAGCGAGTTCATGCGAAGTTCATGTTGGCACGAGTACTGACTGACTGGGGACGCTTTGTCACTGGTCATTGTCAAATCATAGAATCAGTTTCATTGCAGACTTAAATTTTTATAGATGTATGTCTCTAGAGTCTTTATGTAGTTCACCTGCGCCTCTAGGCTATCCTCATGGCAAGTTTTCGTTCTGTAATGTAGTTGTTGCATGTCTTCAGAAACGTATCTGGGTTTTAGTGCCTTGAGGGCAGATCAGATATCTTCCGGAAAACGTTGCCTCAACAGGGGCGGATCTAGGAATTTTTCTTAAGGGGGGGGGGGTCGCATTATTTGTAATGAATTTCTATGGGAGCTCCTGCTCAACTTCTTTTTTCGTCTGTAACGAAAAATGACAGTTGCGTTCCCAGTGCAATCTACGAGTTTCATACCTCCCCCCCCCCCAGATTTTCTTTCTTTCTAAATTGCTAATGCTCTAGCAATACAAATGTTATGCACTATTGCATTATTACTTTACAATTTCGAATTATTGGCAGCTAGACAATAATTCTGTTCTCACGCAGGGTGGGCTGATTCCTGCCCCATAAAACAGTGTCGATAATGTACGGACTGGGGTTGCATTTATCCAAAAAAGGGAGAGTAATGGAGGTTTTTGGTTGGAATAAAACATACAAGTTAAACATGTATTGATACTAGAAAAAAACAAATGGAATGTATTGAAGAGCACGGGGAACAAAACTTTAAAGCGGAAGAAGGCAGTTATGGTAATGGTTGCGAGGGGATGGTGTTACCAAAATGTCGTCAGAGGGGCACCTCCTCTTGTCCCCCTGGCTGGATATAATATACGCCATGGAGTTGATTTCGGAACAACTCGACCATGGCTATGAGGGCGGGCGAGTTGGCCGGGAAGTGGGGGGGGGGGGGGATTTGACCATCACTTAACATAACTGATACTAGTGTATTATCCAACATTGTAACGATGCCCCATTTAAACTTGAACGAACCTTGGCAAGTGTGTGGTGAACGGTTTCAAAGACCGCAAAACTCAGGAGGTCATAGGTTCAATTAATTCCCGGTTCGACACCAGTCAGTTCCTTGTTAAACCGCAATCGACCCAGTCAGAAATGTAGAACAGGTTTATTGTGGTGATGTCTTTATTCTGAAAAAGCGCCCCCAGTGTTGTTCATCTGTGATGCACACGAGTAAAAACTTTGTACTTTCATTGTCACTGAAGAACCTGTCCACAATGAGGGCGCTCTGTGCAATTTCTTAATAATAATGGTTAAAATATTATTGATGGTTTCTCATTATTCTCAATGTTTCCTTTCCACAATGCAGGCTCTGAGACAGTTCATGTCCAGGCAGTGTCGATGCCACGGCGTCTCCGGTTCGTGTACCATCAAATCCTGCTGGAACACCATGCCGGACTTCCTGGCCGTGGGCGACTACCTCAAGAACCGCTACCTGCAGTCGATCGAGATCCTGAACCGACCCACCAAGCGCCGCCTACGACGGAAGGACCGCGGCATGCGCAAGGTGCCCATTGCGCAAGACGAGATGGTGCACCTGGAGCGGTCTCCGAACTACTGCGTACGGGACGCGAGTCGAGGCATCATGGGCACGACGGGCAGGGAATGCAACCGGACGTCTTCGGCTGCGGACAGCTGCGATCTGCTGTGCTGCGGGAGGGGATACAACACGCAGGAGGTGCGCATCGTGGAGCGGTGCGACTGCAAGTTCATCTGGTGCTGCGAGGTGAAATGCAGAGTTTGCGAGACGATTACGGATCTGTACACGTGTAAATGAGTGGTTCCCACCGTGACTATAATGGTCACATCTCCTGAAGAAATGACAGAGACATTTCATTGGTCAATCACGAGACTGAGAAGCCAGTCCGCCTTATTTGCATACCCAGGCCGCCTTATTTGCATAACCAGGCCGCCTTATTTGCATACCATTCAAGAAGACTGGGAACAAATCAGTTACCCTCAACAGTTTCATTTTAGATCTGTGGTGTAGCAGGGTTCTTTAGGTTCGACTCCGTCTACCATTAACATAAAAATACAAAAAAGGTAAAACTTTTACAACATGAGAGAAAGGAAATTCCATTTATTAAAACTCCTATACTGTGTTAATATTTATTGTAGAAACTTGCAGAAAAAGGTGTAGAACATGTATACATGTACTTACATACCACTTTATTTGAATATAAATTTTGTTTACCTTTACAATTTCGGGCGAACGTTAGTAACGATATAGATTTTTTTGCCAAATATCCGGGTTTTTTTCCACATACCCCTGTGTGTATTTGCTTGTGTTTGCAAACATTTTTATACCTGTTGTGAGAATGGTAGTATGTGTGTTCAGGGACAGTCTAAATTTCGGTCTTACACTATACCTTCACAAACTAAAAGTGCATGCCGATAAACTTTGGTTATCAAATGTGATTCTCAGTAGTAAATGAGATTTGGATAGTAAAAATGCATAGATGGAATGATCCTTAAAAAAAACTGCTCTTTGACCAAACTAAGCAAAAGTGAAATATCAAAATAATATTTTGTTGCCTTATATTATTTGTACCTCATTCTGTTACCAGAATGTCAACATTTTATTTATAAATAACGGTTAGCCAGTAGTCACTGTACAGAGAAACTTGTAAATTATTTTGTAAAAAAATCTCGATGTATTAAAGAAAAATAAATAAAAAACACCACCATTAGAACAGTATGAAAACGGATTTCTTTTACTGTGTATTCCGAGTTGTTTCTTGTTTATTGAGTTTGGAGACTAGACATTGATTTCTGAATCACGTACGAAAAGGAAACGGTCAGGGGCTTTGCAGGGAGGTGTATAGGGTGTCGACATCCGTGGATGATTAAACACTGCGGAATTAAAGACATCATCTATACACGGTGGAACACCTTGGGGCGCTAGCGTTGAACCTGGACGCGCAAAAAGGGACAGACGTTTTGACAACTGTGCCCTTTAGCCAACAACAAAGGTTCAGTGTTAGAGGCTCGAGCTTCGTGTACTAGGCGCCTGTATGTTCAGTTTCCTGAGCATATGTGTCATTGTCCAGACAACCTTCCGACAACGGATGATTCCTTGGGGAGATGATGGTGGCGGCAGATCATTTTTGCGTACCTAGAAAGTAAGAATACAAGCGAAGAAAAACTGCCTTTAAATAATTGATAGAATTAGTTTTCATTATGAAATGAAATTTGTATTGTTCTTCATCAATGCAACAACAAGTGGTATTCAACTGAGGAAAATCAAGATCTGAATATTCTCACATCAGAATAAACAACCCGCTGTGTATGTGTTTAAAATCAAAGAGAGACGTACCAGCGAAAAGTTTGGACTGCCCCACGAGTTTGTGTATTTATCTGCTACATCTTAATGTGCGAACTATAAGTATAATGCTTCCATTTTTTCTGTGAGTATAATGCCGAGTCGAAATACAAGTCCTAAGCGCTCGTAATAATCGCCCCTTAGAGGGGGATTGTGTACATTAGTCAAGTGAAACTGTCAAACAGTCGAGGGCGCCCTTCCTGAAAAGTAGTACAGTTAATCCTTCTGGTGAAGAGATCGTCAGATAAACAGCGATTTGATATCGACACGAGTGACAAGTCAACTAAAATAGGCCCATGCTTCTCCAACTGTAACGGCTGTGGTAACTGCTTCTCGAGAGATTTATTCTTCTAGGCATATTTCAGAAATGATATAATTCTGAGGTCGACACAATCACCTCCAAAATTCTAGACGTTGCGAGGCAAAGGGGAGGGGGGGGGGGCACAAGATTTTCGACCGTACGAGCGAAGTGCAAGATTTGCAAAAACTTGCAACTTCAAAGATTAATAATCTCTGCCACAAGAGGGCGTTTTCTCTATAGGCGAACCTGCATCCACGGACCACATTTGGATCGAAGGAAACGCGTGCAGGGATCGTGGCAAGGTCCACAAGGTTGTAGACCAGTAAATAAACTGCCATATAGACCCCAGTGATAAATACGCCCACTTCCAAAATTCAGAAGAAAAATACTCATAGTATGTTTTAGACACACATCAAATTAAATCTTATGTCATCATCTTTCATTTTCTTTTCAATATTTTTGGGGTTAACCAATGACATTTGGGAGAAAATTCCATCCAAAGATAATCACCCCTTAAAGTAGTCCTGAAGCCCATCGCCATTTTGAAAAAAAAATTGATGCCTGCGCTCCATTGCAAAACAGAGCATTTTAGGGCCCAATTTCATACGAATTTCAAAGAAATATGAGCTCGCAGTCCTGTGCACGACTTCCATCATTCTTTTTTGTTTATAAATTACAAACCATCAAGTTCATGGACCACAAACTGCTTATAATACCGGAGAATTTGAGAGCATGAAAATAGTGATTTGGCCGACGTAGGCAATTTCGGGCCTATTTACTGGCCTGCACCCACAAGATGACGGATTCACACTCTCCGACTGAAATCAACAGAGGGCGATAACACCACTTTGTAAACCTTACCGCCTATGTTCGCAAAGGTACATGCATATTTAAGTCAAGCATCCCCCTTCGTTACGTTGCTTGCTCAACTGTGTATAATAAGAAAATGCATTACAGTATTGAATGCTTGCTTGCGACGGATACTGTAATATTTTGTTTGTTGACTGGATCTGTTTAATTTTGTTGAAATTAGTAAGTAGTGCCTTAAGTCTTAAACCCTGATTCTCAAGTTGACAATCCGTTCCGTCACTGAAACCTACACGGAACCTACATCCCACAAAAATACATCCCGAGTATTCAGCAGTCAGTAAACAACCGATCCGTCTGACAAAGCTCTTCAGAAAAACTATTTCCAGTTTGCAGAACTAGAAGTGGCAAAAACGACTTTTACAAAAATGTTGAACTTGTCAGCCGGCGGCATTAAAGTCAATGCCCGTCCCTTCAGTAGTTAGTGGGCGATCTATAAATTTTCATTAAATACCCCGTTACAATCCTGGACAAGTCATAAATGGTCATATTAGACTTGACTAATCAACTGCAACGCTGCCTTAAGCAAAGCACTTCGGCTTAAAAACCAAAACCTGAACATTGACAATGAGGATGCAGGTTCTTTACGGCGGCTGTTTTATGTTTCATACTTTGAAGTGGAAAATGCGAGTAACGCCGTTTTGCAACACGGACACGACAGGCCCATATTAAATTACTTTTTCATTGTGAATATCTGCATGATTTTTTTTTATTGGAAGCTGGTGCGTGTTTCAAAGCGTCATTCTCTTTTTGATTTATGTGTGACTTTTTGTGTGTGTTTTTTTAAGAACCCTCACAAAAGACATCCATTGTGCTGCCCCAGTTCTCTCCTCAAATGCAGTCATTCATCGTTTCGCTAGTTTTGAGGATAACATTGATTCTATTTTGGTTCTCTCCACTTCAATTCAATGAGGAAGATTTTTTGTTAATTTGACAAATCGGGAGGACTTCAAGAGGACTCTCGGCGTTCCTTTGACTGCGTGTGCCCCCCTCAAAGAAAAGTGTTGTTGAGCTCCCTTCAAATTAGTCTCCCAAAGTTTAATTAAAGACATATTAGCCCTTTTGGGATAGGTGTTAACACATAGGGGGCGCTGTTCGATTTTCTCTGAGCCATGGGGAGGGGGTGGGGACTGTGGGAGGAATGAATGTTACAGTGGGGGGGGGGGGGGGGGCGCCCAATGTATGTTAAACCTGTTAACCATGGTCACTAAATAAGATCAACAAATTCCAAGGGGGTGGCGACTGGCGATGTGCGCCCTCACCCCCTCCCACCCCCACCCCCTCCCCCTCCTTGGCTACGTCGTTGCTCCAAGCTCTCATTGGATAGATTTTCTTTGATCACTTACCAGGGGTCAACGCTCAGAGGCAAGCTAGGCATGCACTACGCTTCCTTCACAGTTCTGCTGTGAGAGAGGTTGAGGGTAACCTTCGTCTTCAGATAGGGTAATGTTTTCAGTAAAAACTCAAGGATAAAACAGCCGTTTGCCACAAAGAGAAAAATTAGCTATGTCCGTCCTTTCGTGAAGCGGTAGTTTCCTGTCTGCGGGCTATCACAGCGATGGCAGGTGTCTTTAGAATCGCTTTGCACTGATTGCTGAAAATCCATGACTGTTGCATGTTCATCCAATTAAAAAAGACTCAATCAAAGACACCGGCGTTGAAGTTTGTATGAAATCGCATCAATGTGAGATGAAACAGCCGTACTTGGGACGTGAAGTTGTGGCAACCTCGGAAAGTTGTTCATTTCAGAGGGATTTTCGTTGGAACGACAATTCGGGGATACCCGTCAAATAAAATATCCCTATCGTTTACGGATTAGGACTATCATCTGTCGGCGGAGAAGCCGATTTGGTGGGCAGATCAATGGGGGGGGGGGGGAACAAAGGTTCGCACCACCCCCTTGCACTGCCGCTCTATACACGCCCCTCTCATTTCGTAACTTATCACAGTACGTGTCACACAGACTTCGTTGCATAACATGAAACTGCAAGGTTGAAACGAGGCGTAACTGGCAGACTTCGGCTCCATGAATGTATTCTTTCTTCAGCTGTCTACATACTATTAACATGAAAGTCTATATATGCACGCCTAGCCTCACTTATGTTCCAACATGGCGATTCGGCCATAAAATATACTGCTCTTCTTTTCATTCTCTTCATTAGTTTAGCCCCTTACAGTTGTCGCTTCAGGCTTGATTAACGTTGGCACAATATAGGTACTTTTTTGGTATCCGCATAATCACATCTTATTGGGACAAGGATTTGAGTATTGTACGCGCCTGTTCGTTACATGATTCTGGAGTCAGAGAGGTAAAGCCGGAACAAAGCCAGGTTTGGTAAACGGCGCAGGGAAACTATGAACCAATCGGTGGACATCAAATTGGTTCCGCGCATGCCTGATACCGGGCTAATGATATAAACTGCGGTCGTACATTCTAGTGACGTTATTTGTAAACACAATTAGTTAACACTTTTCTATTTTGTAGGAAATCTGTGTACCGTGACATCTCTGCAATTTTCCGCAGATAAACTTTCGATTCGCCCCCAAAAATAATTTTACACGGAGCTAAATTGCATGGCGTATGGGTTATCACCTGATAATTGTGTTATCTCCCTATACTTCTACATCAGAAAGACATTAATGTAATCAAGAGTTGAAAAAGAAGATAATTCGTTGACATTTCAAGGATATTTACCCGTTAACTTCCTAATAAAAAAATTAAACTGATCTCATAATATGATGGTCGTCTGATACGATTCCTTTCTCGCGTGAATTAAACGTGTGAAGTAAGCTAAAGCCGTATCTCTTGAAGCCATTACAGGCATCATCGATGACCGTTACTTCTCTGTAAGCTCGGACTCTAGGAGCGAAGATGCAATAATAAGAACCTTCTGATAAATCATCCGACAAGAAAGACCATCAATAAGCTCATCTTGCAGAAAATAAATCAGAACATCAAATAATATTTTATATAAGACAAGTAATTCGATTTAGATTTTTTTTTTTTTTACATGTAACAACTATAATAAGGAGGTTTGTCCCGTGAAATTTTATGCAGACAAATTTCTTATATTCTACCGCGTGTATTTATTGATATGTTATCCGCCGTTCACAGTAACCTCATTATTCACAAATCTTGTACTTTCCGCAGTCCAGTAATAACGTCACGGCGGGCGAATGTATGTAATTAATATATCAACAACCTTATAGCTTCATTTCCGTTGCACGTCAAAGAAGAACCCTATCTACTAGGCGGTATATACTCGCACACTGGGTCCATTGACATTTTTTTTAGCAAAGCAGGTGATATCGCCGTGTCGCGAGGCAAGTCAAGCGGAGAAGCTATGAATTTATAGGTTGTTTTTTTTCTTCTTTCTTGGCTCTGTGTGGTACGAGCGCCGGTGGAAAACTTTCCGCTGCGCCGGCCAAGCAATCAGAAAGACAATGACGCTCGAGCCGGGACTCGCGTCAAAACCACCTGCCGGTGAGTGCCGGGCAAAATCATCGACTATACTCCCTTCATCAAAGCCCTTAAAATCCCCCTGTCTTGCCTCGTACGAACTGAGCACACTAGCCATGCATGGCGCAGCCAATGGCCCAGGCAAACCCCAACGACTTCCGCTGACTGAATCGATTTCTACAAATCACTTTTCATACACTGGGAAAAAGGGGGGGTGGGTGGAATATAGTCAGGGTTTACCGAGCTTCGAGACAGAGAAAATGCAAGAGAGAGCGAGCGAGCTCAGCGTAGAATGCACCCCGTTCATTTTGTCCTTCTCAACCGCCTTCCTGTGCATCCGTTCGCGTGCTGAGCTGATTTTGTCCCCCTCTCCTACGATAACACGGGGGGAAAGCAAGCTAGTCGCCGACTCCGGTATAGAGCAGGTGTTTTTCACCGTGTAACCTCAGGCATGGATGAGCCGGGGTAAAACCGCTCCGCGTCCGACTCGATACGCCACTTTCGCGCTCTCCGCTCTCGCACCTCCGTGTACAGCACTGTCGTATTAGTGTATTGAAGTCCGGAGCCAAGCAGCCGTGGAGACACGGGCGTATAAACAAGCCAGCGCGTCGCCGGCCGTGACCGTGGGCCGATCGATTGGCCGATTCTGCGGGGAAGGATTTCGTACCGACTGCCTCCCTTGGAGATCTCACGCGGTAAGGACATTTTCTTTCTTTTCGACAACGAGTATTTTGGCAAAGAAGTTCAAGTTGAATGTTTTTTAACTAACAGCACAGCACTGAATGAAAATTCATTTTAAATTTTCAGTCTGAGATTTTTCTCACTCGAGGTTAAAATATTATCTTAAATTGACATTTCAAGTACATAGTGAGTTGAATAAACGTTGTAGATAAACTAATAATCTGAGATAAACTTTTAAATAAATGTCTATAGATGAAAGAAAACACGATTCGTAAATGTAAAATTACCATTTAACTTACTGAGAACATTCGAACTTGTGTTACTGATTATCTATTTGTAATATAACGAACTATTACGAAACTGTATATAAAATGTCCTTGTCGACACGTATAATTATGTATACAAAATCTACAGGGTCAAAAATATATTTAATTATTAAGACAATATTTAAATATTTAACTTCCTTTTGAAAGGTAAGTAAGGGGAATCAGCCGATTCCGGCGAGATTTTCATTTGTCTACATTATACTTACAGACGATGTTGAAAAGGTGAAACAACATAAATGTTATAGGTCTTAAGTCATGTGAAAAGTTTATCTCACTGATTATTCGTGTACCACGCGCATGCCATTTCCACATTCAAAACATACATTTCAAACAATCGCGTATAGCTGCAATTCAAAACAATTCAAAACATGATTCAGCAACTTTTGATTTGAAATTGAGATCCTAGAATGCTGTTTTTTCTCGGAATATACAGCTGAAGCTGAGCTGAAACTTCATCAGGTTAGTTGTTCAGTATCCTTCATTAGATTTTGAACACTTTTGTTGCTTCAAACGAACAAAATGCACAAATTACAAATGATGGACTATATCTTTAATTGTCTTCTCAGGTCTGCAGCATCTCAATTGACGGGTTGAAAAGGATTAAACAGGACAGCTCGTCAATCCAAAATGCCGCACACAGGTGAGTTATAACTTTCCAGACAATCATAAAAAACGATGAAATACATTAATGTTTTGAATAGGTATTGAACAGGGTGACGGGTAAACTCGTCGTTTCGTTTATCGAAACATGCACAACCCATCTGAATGTTTTATAGCAACGTGAGTGCGAAAATTGATGTAGAAATATGTCCGCCTTCCGTTCACTTATCATTTTGTTAAAAAAAAAAGCTAGAAAGGTCCCCAAGGCAGGGTTTTCTTAATATTTGTTATCTGAAAATTAGGAAATATTTGTATTATTAATTTAAGTTTTCATTTTCAATGTTTCGAATGCAGTCTTGAATTTGTGCGGCTTTTACTGCATGACGCGAAATTTATTCGTCCCCATGGTGTAACGGTTAGCACTCGAGACTAAGAATCTCAAGATCTGATTTGAAATGTCGGTTTTCATCTTCGTGTTAATTCACAAACACACAATCTTAAAAGCGTTAATACATTTTTGTGTGTGAAAAAAAGTACTCCATATGTCGAGAAAAAGACACATACAAACGCAAGCGGTCCCATGGTGTAACGGTTAGCACTCGAGACTCTGAATCTCGCGATCCGAGTTCAAATCTCGGTGGGACCTTATTTTTTTCATCAAGTCATTTCTGTTTTAAATTAACCCTTATAAAAGTGTGGTATATGAAAGTCTTTTATATGAAAGGTTCCAAATAAACAAATGTAAGAATATTTGGAATTACAACCCTTTTTTGGTATTGCTTTATGGTTAGATATAAATTATACTAGTCATGCCTTTCACATAAATCTTCAGACTTTAAATTCCCATAAAAAGTATGGACACAAACATTTAAAAAGACTTCATACTTTTGCGATTTCTTAAATTTAATTTCATTTTATCGGGAATCGAGAGAGCTTGATTAACCTTACAATGGTACCATAGGAGAACAAGGCCCCATGGTGTATTGGTAAGCACTCGAGACTCTGAATCTCGCGATCCGAGTTCAAATCTCGGTGGGACCTTCCTTTTTTTATTTGCGGGATTTGTTGATGGTTTTTTATGAAATGTATAAATAAACGGAATGACGTTGCGGGATTTGTTGATGGTGTACATACATCTCATGTATTTTTATGATGATCCAGACTCTTTCTCCTCAAACACTTAACGTGAAAATTCGTTGTTAACGATATTGAAACCATGGGAGAGCTGACGGAAGCTGGCATATGAAATGCGAGACATTGTATAACTACTCTAATCGAAGAATACGCACCGGTTCCATGGTGTAATGGTTAGCACTCGAGACTCTGAATCTCGCGATCCGAGTTCAAATCTCGGTGGGACCTTAGTGTTGTTATTTTTTAGCCATTAGGCTAATGAAAGAGTGGTATGGTAAACTATACATTTCGGGAGATAATATGAAACTCTAAAAATTAACGAAATTAAGGACAGTGAGTGGTTTTCCTATTTTGCTATCAAATGTTCTGATGAAAATTCGTTGTAACCGTGAAACTATTAACGTTTCTATAGATTGAAATTTAGAAATTCTTCAGAAGGAATCGATTTAATATGCTGTTGAAAGGCTTTCTTATAGCTAAATGCCTATAGGGCCTACTATCCTCTTCCAAATATGCATAGGCCCCATGGTGTAATGGTTAGCACTCGAGACTTTGAATCTCGCGATCCGAGTTCAAATCTCGGTGGGACCTTTTTTTATTCATATTAATGTATTTTATTGCTCAATATAAATTTAAAAAAAAAAAAATCAATTTTATCATCATTAAACAATTTAAATCAGACAATATTTCCAAGGCATTATTAATTGATAGTTTTGAGCATTTATCTCATGATTTCACACATTGATAACACATATTGACGAAAAAAGGCATGGGGTCCCATGGTGTAACGGTTAGCACTCAAGACTCTGAATCTCGCGATCCGAGTTCAAATCTCGGTGGGACCTTAGTGTTTTTTTTTTTAGCCATTAGGCTGATGAAAGAGTGGTATGGTAAACTATACATTTCGGGGGATGATATGAAACTCTAAAAATTAACGAAATTTAGGACAGTGAGGGGTTTTCCTATTTTGCTATCAAATGTTCTGATGGGAACAAATCTTTCATTTTTCCTTAACGTTTTCTATAAATTGAAATTTAAAAATTCTTCGGCAGGAATCGATTTGCTGTTCAAAGGCTTTCTTTTAGCTAAATGCCTATGGAACCTACTATCCTCTTCTGAATATGCGTAGGCCCCATGGTGTAATGGTTAGCACTCGAGACTTTGAATCTCGCGATCCGAGTTCAAATCTCGGTGGGACCTTTTTTTATTCATATTAATGTACTTTATTGCTCAATATTAATAAAAACAAATCAATTTATCATCATTCTTAAACAATTCAAACCGGACAATATTTCCAAGGCAGTATTAATTGATAGTTTTGAGCATTTATCTCATGATTTCACACATTGATAACACATATTGACGAAAAAAGGCATGGGGTCCCATGGTGTAACGGTTAGCACTCGAGACTCTGAATCTCGCGATCCGAGTTCAAATCTCGGTGGGACCTTCACTTTTTAATAGGTATATAATTTGCATGATGTCAAGGAACCGAGTTTTATTTTTAACAATATAATAAAGTTGTCAAAAACCATGAAAGGACTTCACGAATTTTTACTAGAAAAATTCTTTCGTTAGTCAATCCATTTTAATATTAAGTGTTCACATTTCAGCCCGAAAATTAAAGATTTAATACATACGATTCAAATTTTTGAAACCATAAATAAGCGAAAGGATGGGCTTTCTCCACTTTTGTTTTTAAAGTACTTTGTGCTTTTATGATTATCCTCACACATTATTCAAACATTTTCATTAAATATTCTAAGGGAAACTTCTATGTAGAGTGTATATTCATACGGGAACCAACGGTACAATTCATATCGACTTAAATGGAATAAACTCGGGAGGATTCAACTGAATTGGTGAAATCCAGCTTTTAAAATGTGAGACCTTACCTAGTTGGGGCCTGCTGCTAGGAATTTAGTAATTGTAAATTGTTTTGGGATAAACGTTTTATTTACTTTCATGCTATATGTTGTAATAGCACTGAAAGCCCCATAACGGTTAGCACTCGAGACACTGGATCTCGCGATCCGAGTTCGAATCTCGGCGGGAGTAGTTTTTTTTTTTATATATAAAGAGGCGTGTTACTTTCTCGGTCAATTGCATGACTTGCACGATATCAATGGGGAAAACTTGTTTTTATTTACATCACTAAATGTTGTAACAAATCAAGAAACCAAAACCAAATCAAGACATCACTTAAAAGTACGAGAGGTCCCATGGTGTAATGGTTAGCACTCGCGACTCTGAATCTCGCGATCCGAGTTTAAATCTCGGTGGGACCTTATTTTTTTGTAAGCTTCAACAACTGCAAGCATGATATTATTTGAACAATATTCTATTGTTGGGTGTCGTAGAACCAAAGTCAGTAAGAACAGATCAAGAATAATTTTTTATTTAATTAAGTACAACAATTTCATTCATAATATGATGGGAAAATAGGTCGATTTTCAGACATAACGGCATTTAGTAATTGTAAATTGTGTTGAGATTATTTTATTTTATTTTATTTATTACGTTTTATTTACTTTCATGCTATATGTTGTTATAATTCAAGTCGTCAAACCAACATAGCACTGTAAGAAAGCTACTGTCAGCGGCCCCATGGTTTATAGGTTAGCACTCGAGACTCTGAATCTCGCGATCCGAGTTCAAATCTCGGTGGGACCTTTTTTTTCTCCAATGTTTTATGTAAAAAAATAAAAATAATTAAAGAGGTGTATTATTTGATCGGTCAATTGCATGACAATATCAACGGGAAAACCTATTTACATTGTCATAACTGTGTTGGAACAATTCAAGAGGGCAAAACCAAACCAAGACGTCACTTTAAGAGTGTGAGTACAAGAGGTCCCATGGTGTAATGGTTAGCACTCGAGACTCTGAATCTCGCGATCCGAGTTCAAATCTCGGTGGGACCTGAATTAATCCTTTTTTTTTTGTTTAGGGCTTATTACTTTTTCAGTAACTGCATGGTCATTTGCAAAATATCAATGGAAAAACGTTTTATTTTGAAACATTTCATGAATTTAAAACCAAGACAGCATTTTAAGAGTGTATGAGTGCAAGAGGTCCCGTGGTACAAACGTGCTCTTTTTTTAATGGCATATTACTATCTCAGTAACTGCAGGACAATTTGCGCAATATCAATGAAAAACGGTTTATTATATTGAAACATTTCAAGAATTTAAAACCAAGACAGCACTTTAAGAGAGTAAAAAGTGCAAGCGGCCCCATGGTGTAACGGTTAGCACTCGAGACTCTGAATCTCGCGATCCGAGTTCAAATCTCGGTGGGACCTTAATTTTTAAGGCTTATTACTTCAACTACTCCACGCATGATATTAATTTAACATATTCTATTTTTTTATTAGGCCCTTTGCTATACAATTTTAGCACAAACGTCCACCAATGCAGATTTTGTGTGTGAAGGTTTTTATATCTTTATAAATGACCATACGGCAATTTATAAACTATGATAGCACTCCGAGGCAAGCACCGTACGGATGGCCCCATGGTGTAACGGTTAGCACTCGAGACTCTGAATCTCGCGATCCGAGTTCAAATCTCGGTGGGACCTATTTTTTAAGCCCAGCTTTTGAACTAAATTGTCAAAGAAATTGATGATAATGCATATTCGGGACTTCTTGCGATTCCATATTGAAGCTCGCCACCTGATTTTCTTTTGGTAGTGTTTATATACAAAATATTTAGGCCTAATTCGCTATATACAGTACCTATACTGAATTATTACCAAAAAGCCTACTGTATAAAAAATCGTACTGGTACTAAACATCCTGTGAAATTATTCCGTCTGGCTTGCTGATATTGGGAAGAAATCAAGAAATTAGGTGATTTTCAAGTATCAGTCAATTGACCAATTTGTGGAAAGAAAGAGTGCTATGGTCGAAATCGTGTTTCGGTAAAAGGTTGTGCATGGTTTCATTGTTTTCTCGAAAAGTGTAATACTCACTGAGCTAAAACTTCAACAGGTTAGGTTTCGAACATTCTTCTTTGGATTTGAATGTGGTGTTATTATTGGAGACGAACAAAATGCATGAAAGGCATAATGTTCCTTTAACAAACAACTAACAAATGTTTCATTTATTGGATGTACCGATCATTTTTTTGTTCAAGTACCGCCACAGCGTCAAAGACTGTTTTTAACCCCGCTTTCCGTTAGGTCAAGCTGGCGTGAATCAACTCGGCGGAGTGTTCGTCAACGGTCGACCGTTACCTGACTGCGTACGAGCCCGTATCATCCAGCTCGCACAGCTGGGCGTACGGCCCTGCGACATCTCCCGTCAGCTTCTCGTCTCGCACGGCTGCGTGTCCAAGATCCTGACCAGATTCTTCGAGACGGGGTCCATACGGCCCGGCAACATCGGAGGCAGCAAGCCCAAGGTTGGTTGGCGTTTGGTTAAAGGCTAATTGTACGATTTGCTCAAAATTATGATGAAGACGTTGACAATGTCAATGACGGTAATAATAATAATAATATAATAATAATAATAATACCGAATGACAAATGATGGCGGTGAACTTATAAAACAAATGATGACATCGACAAAGTACGACAACACTGACGGTGACACAGGGATCCAAGTTAAAAGTAAAGCATAATTAAAAAACCTTTTTCCCCCATAATACATACAATGCTGTTCTGAATGCAAAATTGTATTTAATTATTTTCTTCATCATCATTATCATCATCATCATCATCAGGCTAGAGTTCATCCATTTGTTGGACAAAGCCCTTCTCGTGAATGCACCATTCCTCTCTGTGTCTAGCCAATGTTGTCCATGTAGCCGCACCCATGTATGTAGTGATGCCATCTACGAAAAAAACGATTCAAACGAAAAAAGCCCAAACAATTGCACAAAGAGTAAATGCCCACAAAAACCCTCTTCTAGTCTGACCTCTTATTAACACAGGTCGCAACGCCTCTTGTTGTCAAAAAGATCATGGGCTACAAGCAGGACAATCCGTCTATCTTTGCCTGGGAGATACGCGATCGGCTGCTGCAGGAACGAGTGTGCGACGAAAGCACCATACCCAGCGTTAGCTCCATCAACCGCATACTGCGAAATAGCGCCCCCAATGGCGCGGGAGGGGTAAATAAAAGTTTTCCTTTCATTGGGTGAGGCTCCTCTTTTTTGCGGTCCGTTGAAAGAAACATAAACTTGTCAGGGTTCAACAGAGTAACATTTTGGTAAATGAAGGGCATTTTCCTTTTCAATTTTGTTCATACAAACAAAAATCCCAATTGCCGCTTTGAAAGTTACATGTTTACCTGTGCCCTGCAAAAGATTTTTCAATTTGTATATACATCATTTGCTTTGCTGTAATTTTCAGAAATGGATGGAATTGGGGGGTTGGAAATATATAGCAAATATAGTTACACTGACTTTTTTGAGGTTTTGGGTTCGAAAATGCTATAAAAACCAAGAAAAACAATCATTTTCCTGTAGTCTGGTTCCCTGACTCCATTTAAGAAGAAACAGAGCAGTTTACATATATTGGGGAATTGTAAGGTCAGGGAACCAGTCTAGCTGGCTTGTACCTGTTCATAGGTGTGTAATCGATTGCAAACAAGTGCGATGGTCAACTGGGGCCAGTATTTGAAAAAAAAGCCAGTTTTTTCCAACGCTGATCGGCCGATCAGCGTTGGAAATTGATACAAAAATACCACTTTTCTTGAAAATGACAGTTTACCAGGTGCCATGATTTTACAGGATGCTTTACACTGTCATTCACTAACAGTCCAGCAAGGTATTTCAAAATGATTTGGTAGTTTTATTTTTTGATGTTTGCAAATGTTGTATTTTCCCTTTAACGAAAAAACTACTTTATTCCGATTTTTGGCGTCTGCAACCCTCCGAAAATGGAATTTCATTTTGCGCACAAATGAACCCGCCCGGCGATAGCCGAATGATTGTCTGGCAGCTGATAATTTGAATTGTGTGAAGACATAATTCAATAACTAAACGTCGATGGATTTTTGTTTTCGTTTGATGTCTCATACAAAAGTGAATAACTTTTAGGAAATTACCAATTGAAAAAAATCTATTGTTTTCGAGGGGAAACTCGAAAATAGCACGGGAATGCGTCTTTAATGTCATAATCCTTACGCCTTCATCAGGAGGCCGAAACGTTCTTTTGGCAGTATTGGCAAAACGTCTTCAAAATGAAACGTTTTGTGTCCCCATTTCTCGTCGTAGGTACAGCTAGTTTTCCATGAGGCGCCCTTTATGACTTTATTTCAAAACAAATAAATAGGATGAAACAAACAAGTATAGGACGAACCAAATAAATATAGGACGAAACAAATAATAATAGTATATGTCCCTTTCTCACCGGATAGAATGACTTTTCTTTGACTTATACACAAGTCTTGTCTCTCTTCTCACGAGCAGGAAATGACGACAAATCTACCTGCGCCCGTTGCTAGGCTACCGGCTCCCATACCGCAGAGGCCCTCCCCGCAGCAGAACACTGGACAGTTAGCCTACAAAGCGCCCTCGGCGGCCAAGCCGAGCCACTCCATCGATCAGATTCTCCAAGGAAACGAAGGAAGGAAGAGGAAACTGACGAGCAGTGATTCGGAGGAAGATGACGACAAGGAGATACGCGAGAAAGGTGAGACAGAACTGATCGATCACCAATCAATAATTAATTCATAGAGGGAGGAATAATTGCATTGATAAATTATCCATCAAACAATTTGCAGTCTAAAGATCAATGGATAAATTGTCCAAGCAGTAAAAGCATCGATCGATCGATCGATCGATCGATCGATCGATCAAATAATTAATCAATCAATCAATAGATCGATGATGATCAATAGATCAGTATTTTGCTGGTTAAAAGCTTTATTATAATGTCAAGATAATTAAGCCTAGCCTCTGCCATACATATAAAAAAATATTTGAACATTAACAAATTGATGGATCTCAACCAGAAGACCTTCAATCAGTTTTTTTTCGGAAGGGATGGTTGCAGGCAATTATTTGTTTCAGTTTAAATCAAATTTTGCTGCTGTTAATTTTCTTCATGTCCTGTCGATTTCAAAGAAAACTTAAAATCCAAAACAAAGTTTTATAATTAATGGTGACTTCCTCTTTTGTACATGCAACTACCTTATATGAATTTCCGTTTTTTATGTCTTGGAAAACAAAATTTCATCTCTGCAAATGGACATTTAAGTTTTTCTTTGTAGCCTTTCCTTATAACTTTGCTTACACCTTTGTATATTCAGAAATTTTTTTTTTCTATTCTACTCTTCACAAAAGCAAATTGGCAATAAAATATTTTTACATTTCTCGTCCGTAAATTTTTAGTCAGCAAATCTGAGGCAAGAAGTCTTTCCACTTCAACACCACACATCACAACACCTCCCTCCACGTCCACTCTGAAGACACCGGCATCGACTCCCTCCGTCAGCCGCCCACAGTCGCCGGAGATCCTTCTCCTCCCGACCCCATCACTGCAGCAGACCGCGCCCGGTGCGGTCGGCGGGGCGATATGCTCATTCCCCACCGCCAAAGTCTGTCTGACCGGACTGCCTAAACTTCCCGTGGTGACCTCGTCCGCTCTGCCGGCCGCTTCAACGATCATCCCCAGCGGTGCAGCTGTAGCGCAGGCCCTGGCCGCTATTGGCGGGTTTCCCTTCGCGGGTTTGCCTGCCGGGATGCTACCCTTGAGGGCCACGGGGCCTGTGAGTGGCGCCCCCGCCGTCTCGTACCCAGCTTTCGCCATGGCGCTGCAAAGTGGCTGGGCATACAGGTCGATGAAAACACATACCAAGTGATGCTACTAGGAGCAGCTCTTTTGTTTCACAAGCAAATATGTAAATACAAATTGAAACTGTCAACATGACCATTATTTGTCTCTAGATAGTTGGTATGACCGGGTTACGGATTAAATTCCAAACATTCATTGTAAAATATTATTGTTATAAAGTTTGTGCATTAGCCTATGACCAGTGCAATTTCTTGGGGTATTTGCCAATCTTCATTACTGTACATTGGATTAAATTGAACAGATTATTTGTAAAAGAAAAGTGTGAAGTATAAGCAAAAAATCAAGTTATTGTTATGTCAGTTGCCCAACTGTATGTATATATCTGCCCCTACCACTTGGTGGTGATGATTGATGTTTACGACCAAATATTTAGCTTGTTTTGTGGAAGCAAAGCTCAAAATCAATGACAAGTTAAGCTTCATTGTCTAGTGAAGAGAAAATAGATTCAATGGGAATGACTGAACAAAAGTACACGAAAATCACTCGACAGAGTCAGGGTATTTTTTCTTTGTACTAGGATCGTTTGCTCTTTGTGCATTTTGTTCGTTTGAAGCAACGAAATTGCCGACCGACCATCGTTCGAAATTGATAAAAAAAAAATCCACTTTTCTTGATATTTAAATGACATCACACCAGGTACCATGATTTCACAGGATGCTTTGGAGTATATTACTCACATACAGTCAAGTAATATTTTGATGTTTGCAAATGTTATATATTATCTTTAATTAACTTGTAGAACAGTGGATACAATACATTTTGAGAAAACCGTTAAAACGTGTGCACAAATTTGGGGTCTCGCATAACTGGTGCTATAAACGCACATAAAAAAAACGTGCCGGCGGGCACACTTTCTTAAACCACCTTCAATTGTTTTCTTCCGAAATATACAATTTCTGGTGGAAAAAACTACACAGTGTATTTGCTACCTGTCCTATCTTCACTTTGAGGGAGGATTTTCTCATTAAATCTTTAGGTACATTTCCGGGTAATTGCAAGTGTTCCTACGTGCCTTTAGATTTTTGCACATTTGGTTTTATTTTAAGGCATTTATGTATGCTCACTGTCAATTTCGGGCTTATGCGCCCAACAAGTTGAAAAGTTTTCAGGAAACTATATGTTTTGAATTGTTCTCGACTATAAAACTGTTTGAAAACAGACAAACAAATTGTGTAATATACCATGTGTGAAATCAGAATTACAAACATATGGCACTGAGCTTGTGCTCCGTCTTAATTTCTTTAAACCGAGGGTTTGAAATTATCCAGTATTTTTTAAAAGACACAAAGTCTCCTAAACTTGCCAGTCAAGATGTTATAAACAAGTCGTCCCAATGAATATCAATTCATGAATAACTGTTCATTCAAAGGGCATTCTCAAATAAATTTGTTAAAAAAATTAGTTGACCCAAGGAAATAATCGAATAAAACTTTTATTAACAAATCTTGGACTAATTTCATGGAACCGCATTGAAGAAACTATTGCTCAGAATATTGAGACACTCGGGGTGCAGACCAGTAAATCGACTCCCATAGACCTGTGATAATTATCATTGCGCACTTCCAAAAATTATTACAAATACTCGGAGCTCTCCAAGATGTTCGAGACACACATCAAATAAAGCTCATGTCATTATCTTTCATTTTTTGTTCAAATTTTGGTGGCAATCCAATGACTTTTGGGAGAAAATTCCATCCAGAGATGATCACCTTTATATAGTCCCGTGGCCCATCGCCATTTTGAAAAATGATGCCTGCGTTCCATTGCAAAATAGAGCAATTTTAGGGCCCAATTTCATTAGTATTTCACAGAAATACGAGGTAGTAGTCCTGTGCATGGCTTTCACTTTTTTTTCTTCTTTTTTTCCATTACAAACCTTCAAGCTCATGGCCCACAAAATGCTCTAATAGCAAAAAGAATTTGAGGACATGCAAATCGTGATTTGGCCTTCGTAGGCAATTTTGGGCCTTTTTTACCGGTCTGCACGCCCCAGCAACACCAGCTGGAGACCAGCGACAAGCAATTTGCAACTTACGCACATTTTGGATGGTAACCTATTTCTAATAAGCATCACTTTTGATTGGCCAGGACTTGAACATGTTTTGCATTTGGTAATTACATAAACATATATTCCAACCAATGAAAATAAGCTTCACATGACAGGTAAAGAATAAAAGTATTCCAAAATCACAATGCTTGGCATTCAGTAAATTTATTTATACTTGCATCACAAAGCTAAAGTTGCATGTAGCCTAAAATAAAACAAATAACATCATGCATGTTTGGTCTTTAAAAACATCTTAATAATAAATATATATAACTCTTATGTACATAATAAAACTTACAAAAACTGCCGACTGTTGTCTCTTTTTCTTCTTCTACAAAACTATACCAGCAGTCTTCACTGTAAACTGTTATTGCATTCTGCCACTTAGGGTAAGGTTTATTAACGTTGGTAATATTAACTGCATAATTTGAATGCATAGTTGACTTATCTGGCAATGTTTTGTATTTTAAGGAGTTCAGTGAATAAACCTGAAAATGTATTTTGCAAATCTTATACATCCATCATCTAGTAATAGTCAAGGAGATTACAGACTAGGAGTTTTGGATCATTTCTCTGTTTCATTAATTAAATATCACGGTTAATTGGCGCTGTCACAGACAATTCCTTTTTTCTTGTATTATTATTATTTGTAATGTATCTGGTAATTCGGAGGCATATATTTACACTAATTGGCCACTTCTGCACAACTTTGTTGTTAACTGTTTTTGGTTTAATTCTTGAGAAAGTTTTTTTTGGGGGAAACATATTCCAGTATGCTATTTTGCAGATACATGAACATAATGGATGTCCCACTTGTTTGGGGAAATGATATTTTGTTTACTAAAACATTACAACATGCAACACCTCTGGGGCTTGCAGTTCTCTGAATTGGTCCACAAAGTATTAAACGATTAGCATATATAATTTGGCAAGAGTTCATTCAATAATAAATATGTCTTTAAGTTTGGCAAGCTATCATTGTGCAAATAACTCTACCCATATTCTTGCCCAGTGTCTGCCCTTCGTTTCCTTTGAAAGTGAAAACTGACAACCAGCCCATGCGTACTCAGATCTTACAAATTATTTGAGGATTTTCAACAAATTTTCTAATTTCAGATTATTTCAAAGAGGATTAAAGTCCTTTACTTTGATGCTAGTCCATGGTAAAGGGGGAATTTCATGCTTGAAGTTTTTCCCAAATGAATGTAATTTATTGTCAACCTAGAACATGTGTTACATGTGGATCAGCATGAAGACTATAGCTGGAGTGAAATCACACAGCATTTTTTTTCTGGTTCTACCACACACACACAAAATGGAAAAGAATGAAAAGCTTTCATTTACTTCAAATAAGAACTGAATTCATTTTTTTAAAATTTGAAAACAAACAAATGTTCAACAAACCACAAATGGAAACAAACTAGGCACACTGTAATAACTTGGAAAAGTTGACCACAAAAATTGACTGGAGGGGGGTTTGAACCTGTCACCTGTGTCCCCCGGGATCATTACCGTTCTGGTGCTCTACCAACTGAGCTATCCAGTTCTATGTTGGCAGTTCCCCATTTTGTCAATGGCTTTGTTAAATTCGCAGGTTCGCATCCCACTCTAGTCAATTTGTAAAATTACAATCAAACAAGACAAAAATACTCTTTAGTTTCGTTCCAGTTATACCCTACATGTTGATTCATATTTAGAACAGGATTTTTTTTATTGGGGTGGGGGGGGGGGCTATAAAAGCAATGGTAAAATTTTACAACCATTAGAAAACTTGATGGTAATATTCTGTTCCCCTTACTACATTTTGTATCTTAAGTCACCCTTTACTTCATGGGCGTCGCCAGGATTTTTTCCGGGGGGGGGGGGGGGGGCCAAACAATTTCTGTCCAAAAATTCCTTAACTTTTTCATTATATTCTCAATTTATCATTTTTCTGAGCGTGAGCAGGGGAGCATTTGCCCTACCCCCATCAAATTAACAGCAATATGGCTTTGACCTCTTTTTCATTTTTTTCTCTTTTTTTCCCTTCGTTTTCCGGGGGAGGTGGGGGGAGCGAGCACCCCCCTCCCCCTCCTTGTCCCCCCTCGCGACACCAATGCTTCACTTTAACATTTTATCATGATCTTAAGCCTGGCAGATAAATATTCTAAGTAAAGTTATCCCTGGGTTAAGTCTTGAAAGTTTTAACGTTTCGACTACTTCAAACTGTAGCCTCAAGCACCGCATATCCTACTGATCAAGATTTCAGAGTAGACTGCGTTGATTTCACCAGTCACATGGTACAGCGCCCTCTGTTGTTTGTCCTCTATATTGGTCTTGACATCGTCCGGTGAAGGGCGGAGGTAATGCCACAGTGTCTGGATGGTACTGGAAGTTGCACTGATTTTTGGAATGACTTCATTTACCTACGGAGAATGATAAAAAAAACCCACATTTTTGATGATTGTAATTAATAAAAATCCTATTAGATTTCTTTTAAAAGACTTCATTTTGTCTAAAATTGGACAAATTTAAGAATGTCTCACAAGAAGTAATTCTTCAAGATTGTTGGAATGTGATCAATAATCTGAGGCTGATGACTTTAGAAAGGTAAATTATTAATTTTGATGACCTGAATTTCAGAAATTATCAGATCTTAAGGAAAAGTTTGGAAATCTTCACTAAACTTTAACAAATAGGCAATTCCAGCATTATGAAATAAAGTGTAATGTCCATGACAGAGCCAACGAACCATGATATCTAATTAATGATTCAGAGAAATAATCCAAAACTCCTAGTCTGTAATCTTCTTGACCGGAACTAGATGATGGGTGTGTACGAGCTTTGAAATACACATTTTCAGGTTTATGCACTGAGCTCTTAAAAGCTCTGTCACGTACGTAAAATGACGCTGGCATTATCCAGATGCTAATAATAAATAAATAATTAATAAAGAAATTCAATTTACAAAATGCTTGTAAAAAGCAAAATAAGGACGCTAGAAAAAGTTAAAGTGCTATAGACCCCGTGCCCCTCTGTAGCACAGTGCCTTCACGTACGCGCAGACAAGGCCAATTCTTTCAAGAAACAACTTTTTGGGGGATAATTAGCAATTGACTTATCCAAATATGCTTTACCAAATATTTCATAAAATGTGAGCTTCGTCGTTTTTTCTTGTTGCTTACTTCAACCCATTAGGCCCTGCACCGCCCAAAACTGCCCCAACACGGTGTGGTTTCATCAGCAAATGAATACAACGTAATACAAGGGCCAATGGTTTGAACAAGGACCATAGTCTACTATGAAGCACACTCACCCTGTGAAAATGGCAAGCACATTTGCCCAATAGAAACTCTCGATATCTAGCCATGGTCATGTTGAATGTGTCCAGGACATCAAAGCTCAGGTCTTTGGCATAGTCCAGGATGCCTCGGTTGTGGTAGAATATCTTGCGCTGCTCTTGCTGGGGTTAAAAAAAACATGCACAGGATAAAAATATAAAGAGCATAGCTGAGTAACAAGCGGAAAATGGCAGTACTGAAAGTTCCAAATTTGTTCATTGGTTTTTACATTATATGGGGCCCTCTTCCAAATAGTCCAATCCATTAACATTCCAAATAACTCCACTCTGACCCCTCCGAATCGTACTTTTGGAGAGGTGTAGATGTTTGTTGCCCGATGTGTTCACCTTAAATTAGTTTTCTTTGGTTAAAAGATGATTTCAAACCAGCAGCGACCTTCAGAATACAATCCAAGCTTCTACATGTACGTTGGGAGTTTCCCAATTTGTTAATGCAATATTTTCCACCAAAAAAACATACAGACAGATCCAAGGAATATGGCATGAAGGTTAAAGCTGCATTCCCCGTGCCATTTTCGAGTTTGTGCTTTTTTTCTAGAAATATAAAAGTTATTCATTGTTGAATTAGACGTTGACCAAAAGATATTGGCCCATGTTTAGTTATTGAATTAGTACTTTATCAGTTTGAATCATTGGCTGTCAGACAATAATTTCTTTCGCGAGGGGTAGATTGGTTCCTGTCCCATAATCAGAATCGTAATACATGGGCCAGGAGCCAGTTTGCTCCCAGAGTGGATCTGTTTGTGGCCAAAACAGGACTTTGTTTTCCAAAGGGGTGTAGACGATGTCCAAAAACAAAGGGGGGGGGGTGGGGAAAGAGGTTCTTTTTGGTTAGAATAAAAAATATGGTTAGAGAAAAATATGTAATTTATTGAAGAGCACTGGGAACCTAATTTTAAGGAGACTAAGCTATTCTAACTGGAGATTGAGAGGGGAGGGTTTGAGGACTGGAGTAGGATTAGACCAACGCAGGGTTGGCAGAAAAGGTGCATCGGGAGGTTGGGGGTTTGGGATGGACATTTGATAGGTCTTGAAGATACAGAAGATTGACTCACCAATGAAAGACAGTGAATTCCGTCCACTGGCTGGTGGAAACCAGCTCCTAGACTCTTCATCATCTTGCGAATCTTACTCAACCCCTCCCTGAAAAATATATCACAAACATAAACTCTTGTTTAAATAAAAAAAAAATTGACTAACATCTTGAGTCCAACACTCTAGTCCACTAAGTGTCCAAAGATATAGGGGAGTCTAGGCAAACATTCGTGGGGTGGGGTGGATGGGGGTTTAGGTGGGGTGGGTTGGGGTAGTACAGGGAGTAACAGGCAGGGCAGTTTGGGATAGTACAGGAAGTAACAGGCAGGGCAGTTTGGGGCGGTACAGGGAGTAACAGGCAGGGCAGTTTGGGGCTGTACAGGGAGTAACAGGCAGGGCAGTTAGGGATAGTACAGAGAGTAACAGGCAGGGCAGTTTTGGGTAGTACAGGGAGTAACAGGCAGGGCAGTTTGGGGCCGTACAGGGAGTAACAGGCAGGGCAGTTTGGGCAGTACATGGAGTAACAGGCAGGGCAGTTTGGGATAGTACAATGAGTAACAGGCAGGGCAGTTTGGGATAGTACAGGGAGTGACAGGCAGGGCAGTTTGGGGCAGTACAGGGAGTAACAGGCAGGACAGTTTGGGGCATGCAGTACACATGGAGTAACAGGTAGGGCTGTTTGGGACGGTACAGAGACAAACGGTATGTCTCACCTTTCTAGTGCCTTCTGTAACACCTTTAAATGATGAGTAGCCAGCCAGTGCACACCCCCAACCACCAGCACCGTGTTATTGCTGTTCTCCAACGGCCGTGAGTGCCTGACGAGCTGGTACAGGGCCTTGTCGAACACCGGCCTCTCGCTGGCCGCCAGCCAGAACTGCGGGTAGTAGGCAAAGCTGACGGTGGTCCGATTGGCGTTCAGGTTGTGGTAGACTTTGATGTTGTGGGTCTTGTCCCATTCGGTGAGCGTGCCGTTGAGTTTCTCCATGAGGTAGTACATGATGCCGCGGTTTGTGGAGTCTCCGATGAAAAGAAGCTGAGGCAAAAGAAATAGATTAAAAAAAAAACGATAAACATTTTTGAAGTTCTGGTAGCTCACATCAAGTCACATGTTGTTCACTTGTGGTGTGATCTATTGAAAATTAGTATCAAGCCATACACAGCCATGCACTGGCAACTTTAACAAGCCTTACAAGCAGAGAAATGTAATAGAAAAAAACCCCAATGAGAATTGAGTCACATATTGACTCTTCATAGATACAATATAAATTATAAGTACATAATAATAATCATAATAACAGGTATTTATGAAGCGCTATTAAAGGGGGTATCAAAGCGCTTTACAATTATTATTACCCCCCGTTCAACGGGCAAACACTCCTGAAACCTTCTCAACTCCCTGGGGAGCATACACGGCCGGTAGGCAGCCATTTCGGTGCTCTTGGGCGTAATCAACCTCTAACAGTAACCAACTCTGCCCTCACAGGTACCCATCTACTACTGGGTGGGGAGAAGCAATGAGTGACAAAGCGCCTCGCCCAAGGGCACACGCAACATAACTCTGGGCTGGACTTGAACCCACAACCTGCAGAATTACCCGCAGACCACGAATTCAATGCTCCAGACCACTAGGCCACGGCACTCCACACTACATCAGCTTTTGCCTTTCAACGACACAGTTTCTTTTAGCGATGTTAGCTCAGTGCTTTCCACAAGCTTTTGAGAAAAAAAAATCGCAAGCTTGTTTGGGTGGGCCCAACGACCTATGGGTTGGCTGAGGTGGCTTCTCTTGTTTGATCAGGTCATGTACAAAGTATATGCCACATGAAAAAGTTTGCAAAATTATCTGTGTGATAGAACCTTACCGTTTTGCCTGCAAGACACTTCTGTAACTCCTCTTGTCCGATAGCCAGATACCGGCATCCCTTGGGCTGCCATTGAGATTGCCTCCAATAGCAGCTACTCCTGTCCATGCAGCGATGGCAGGGTACCAGCCACTCCCCTGAGGATTTAATAATGCTCAAAGTTAATGGGGAACCAGTTTAAAAGTTGGACCAAAGTAATGGGCCTAGTATTCACGGTTTGGTTGAAAGAACGAATGTACTGGCAAAATGTGAACCCTTGAAAGGTTTCTTATGTAATAACGTGGTAACCTACTACAGGTGCAGACCAGTATAGGCCCAAAATAGCTTACGCCGGATTTGTAAAAAAGAAGGGTGGAAGCCGTGCAGAGGACCGCGAGCTCGTACTAGTGTGAAATGTGGATGAAATAAGGCCCTAAAATGGCTCTGTTTTGCAATGGAGCGTAGGCGTCTGTTTTCCAAATGGCGATGGGCTTCAGGCCTGCTTTTAGGAGTGATCATATTTGGATGGAACTTTCTCCCCAAATCACTGAATAACCCCCCAAAAATTGAACGGAAAATGAAAGATGATGAAATAAGCTTGATGTGTGTCTCAAACACCTTGTAGAGTTGTGAGTAGTTTTAATAAGTTTTGGAAGTGCACGTAATTATCACTGAGGTCTTTGGCAGTCTTTTTACTGGTCTGCAACCCTATGGACTCTGTGCACAAGTACCCCCTCAACGGTTGCAAAGGGAGAGTTGGGGGAGACCACTGGAAAGGACATTTTGGAACGCTCTGCCGATGGCGCCTGATATGATGCTTACACGAAGACGCTAGGAGTTTATTCAGAATAAAATAAATTGCACCACACACGCGAATCAGTAGGCACAATTAGCGGTGTGTCCCTCCTCCCACTGTGGCTCTTGAAAGTCAGTCAGAAAGCGCCATCGACTGTTCGTACAGACAGTCCATAGTAATAAAATGAAACAGTCTTAGTTTTGAAAATGCAGACTCGGTTTTATCTAGTAAGTGATTCGAAATGTTTGTATCCTAGGAACGGTCACAGTTCAAATACCTTGGATGTCACCGCTGGGACACAGCGGCAGACGTGACTTGGATTTGATGTAGTCCTTCCAGGTCAGGTCCGGGACTAAATTCAGGCCGCAGGAAGATCCCTGAAGAAACTGTAGATTGCACTCCTTAAAAACGGGGAAACAAAGATATAATGTCAGCACACTACATACTCAGACAAGGTTAATACTGGTTACGGGCAGGGTTGAGAATTTGGGGGAAAATAATTAAATCCTTGAAAAATATTTGTTGGAACCCCAGAGCAACTACGTTACTTTCATGAAATTGCCTAAAAACTACCTTTTGCAATTTTTTTCCAATAACCCAAAAAGAAAAAAAAGGCATAATGAATAGTCTTGTCATTAAAACTTTCTCAAATTCACAACCGTAGGGCCCACCATGTACGTGCACTTGTTCAGATGCTTATAGCACAGAGTTCACAAAATTTTCGGAATGTACATATGTGATTTACTTGTGAATACTTGAAGAAATAGAAAAAAAAATACACGAAACAATCACTAGAGGTTTTGCGGGTCATCGAAGGCCCAAGAGCAATGCAGAGTCTATGATATATGTTTATATACATTTGCCAAAACGTACCCCAGAAGTACAATTTTGTTTCTGTTCTATATAAGCTTTTAAAGTCAAAACACCTTTATTGCAGAAAAAAAAACACCCAGGAATGTCAAATATTTAGATGGTAACAAAATCCTGAAATCAGGAAAAATCCTAACCAAAAAAATCCCCCAAATCGTGAAAATCCTGACAAATCTCAACCCTGCCGTGCAAACTATTGATATCTGGTGCCAGGTGTGACCAGCACTTACCTGTACTAAGCTGCAGACTTGATGCGTCTTGGATTCGTCAAAATCTGCCTCGCCGTCCGTGATGCTCTTGCGATGCACAATCACTGAGTAGGTGTTAACGACCCAGGGTTCTGAGTGGGTGATGTCGACCACTAGCATGCTGATGCGATTCTCTCCCACACCCAGGGTGTAGTTGGAGGGTCTGCAGGGGTACAATTCGGGAGAACAACTTTAGGCTTTTTTGAGGGGGGGAGGGGCGACTTAATTTCGACCAGCGTCTCAACTAAATGAACAATTGGGAGACTGCCAACATAGACCCGAGAGCTAAATTAGTGGAGGATTATTCTATAAACTTAGGGTCCAAAGTGGGACATTTTCCCGTCTCTTTTAATGACCTTGATAATTTGTAATTTGCCATTCAAGTATCATTAAGAATGACTTCAAAGGATTTTATTTATTTGTTGGGGAGGTAGTTTCTAGTCATTTTATCACTCTTGAAGGGCGACCAGGGGCGGATCCAGGAATTTTTGGCGGGGGGGGGGGGGTGTTTCTTCAGCAAATCAATGCTGAAATGTAGACAGGTTTTTTTTGGGGGGGGGGGCTCGTACCATACTTTCAATTGGGGCACTGTTCAAATCCGACAATTATTAACACTATATTGCAGGATAGTGTACAAATACCCCCGTAGCCCAGCAGGCTCTGTCCATATTTTGGGCACAGGCATTTATTAATACCAGTAGATTTTTTGGGGGTGTTAGAGCAGGGGGGGTTTAGCATTATTTTTTTATGAATTTCTATGGAAAAAAAAATTTGACAGAGCTGGTTTTTTTGTTTTTGGACCCCCCCCCCCCCCCCCCCCCGTATCCGCGCCTGACGACTGCATTACCAACAAACCAACCAGTCCAGCACTAGCTTTTTAAAAGTATATTTAAAAATGATATTTTGGGGAGCAACAATACCGGCTCAGTTCAGATCTGCAAGAAGGAAGGGGTTAATATCCCCCTGCCAATATTGAAACCGAATCCTTCCAAAATATTGTCAAACTGTTTTGAGCTATCAACCCCCATCCCCACTACACGCAAAGAAGTGCTTACACACAAAGCGCCCTGAAATTTGTTTCTCTCATAGGCATGGCTTACAGCGCCCCCTATTATTACTGAGTGGAGTCCATACTGTCGCTAAGGTAAGATACCTAGCTTCTTGAACTTGGGACAACTCTTACCTCGATACACCGTATCTATCCTCCAGCCTAGCTTCACTGTCGCAGCTTCTAGCGAATCCCCACACTTTGATCAGGGCGACCTCGTGCGGAACCACAGCCTGGTACTCGGTGACCTTTGGGTCAAAGGTCGGGGTCAGGAGGATTGCTGGGTCAGTCCGAAAATCTAAGAGTTCTGACAGAACCAGGGGATCTAAAAGCAAAATATTATTTATTTTTAATAAGACTTTTTATATAACATTTGGACTTTAAAAATTTTGAAAATCAAGGCTCAATTTCTTGGAGCTGGTTAGCAGCAATGCTGCTTAGTAAGTTTTTGTTCTTAGCAAAGGTCAGCAGAGAACCAATCATATGCAATGTACATTGAATGGCAATCTGGCTTGTAACCATTCTTTTGCTCAGCAAATATTTTCTGTGCTAAGTCAATTTCCATGCACAGCATGTCTATAAAATTTGCCCCAGATGAGAACAAATCCAGAAAAAAGCATCCCGTAATGCTTTACCTTATGTAACTTGGTTTTTTTGCTTACCAAATGTTTTAGTAGCTCCAAGTGGTTAGGTCATATATTGCGTCCTTGGGCAAGCCGCTAATTCACCCCCGCTTGCCTCTCTCCACCCAGGAGTATAATTGGGTACCAGCATTAGGGAGTAACCAGCGATGGACTAGCAGCCCATCCAGGGGGAGTAGAAATATTCTCAGTCGTTTCATGCTACTGAAACTGGTGATAAACACCAGCCTGGTGGGCCACATTGGCTATATAGTGACAGACTTTACTTACTGTTATTTTTACATCTAACTCACTGAAACTCCTTTGACTCAACACACACCATAGGTACACCGCGGTCTGTGGTATCGCGGATCCCTGTACATTGGGTCATCTCACTCACTTAAACAATGACTCATCACTCACCATCACTACACCGCGGTCTGTGGTATCGCGGATCTCTGTACAATGGGTAATCTTACTCACTTAAACAATGACTCATCACTCACCATCACTACACCGCGGTCTGTGGTATCGCGGATCTCTGTACAATGGGTCATTCTCATCTTACTCACTTAAACAATGACTCATCACTCACCATCACTACATCGCGGTCTGTGGTATCGCAGATCTCTGTACATTGGGTCATTCTCATCTTACTCACTTAAACAATGACTCATCACTCACCATCACTACATCGCGGTCTGTGGTATCGCGGATCCCTGTACATTGGGTCATCTCACTCACTTAAACAATGACTCATCACTCACCATCATTACACCGCGGTCTGTGGTATCGCGGATCCCTGTACATTGGGTCATCTCACTCACTTAAACAATGACTCATTACTCTCCATCACTACACCGCGGTCTGTGGTATCGCGGATCCCTGTACATTGGGTCATCTCACTCACTTAAACAATGACTCAGTACTCACCATCACTACACCGCGGTCTGTGGTATCGCGGATCCCTGTACATTGGGTCATCTCACTCACTTAAACAATAACTCATTACTCACCATCACTACACCGCGGTCTGTGGTATCGCGGATCCCTGTACATTGGGTCATCTCACTCACTTAAACAATGACTCATTACTCACCATCACTACACCGCGACCTGTGGTATCGCGGATCCCTGTACATTGGGTCATCTCACTCACTTAAACAATGACTCATTATACTCACCATCACTACACCGCGGTCTGTGGTATCGCGGATCCCTGTACATTGGGTCATCTCACTCACTTAAACAATGACTCATTACTCACCATCACTACACCGCGACCTGTGGTATCGCAGATCTCTGTACACTGGGTCAGTCTCATCTTACTCACTTAAACAATGACTCATTACTCACCATCACTACACCGCGGTCTGTGGTATCGCAGATCTCTGTACATTGGGTCATCTCACTCACTTAAACAATGACTCAGTACTCACCATCACTACACCGCGGTCTGTGGTATCGCAGATCTCTGTACATTGGGTCATTCTCATCTCACTCACTTAAACAATGACTCCTCACTCACCATCACTACACCGCGGTCTGTGGTATCGCAGATCTCTGTACACTGGGTCAGTCTCATCTTACTCACTTAAACAATGACTCATTACTCACCATCACTACACCGCGGTCTGTGGTATCGCGGATCCCTGTACATCGGGTCGATCTCAAACACGTTACTGATCAAGACGTCATTGCGTCCTCCCAAGCGATGACTCGTGATGTTGCCAAAATTCTCCTGCACGCTTGCATCTTCCGAGACGGGGCTCTCAGCTTGTCGTTTTCCGTCCACGCTCCAGTAATACTGCTCCAGGTTGGCCAGCACGTGCTGGAGGTCCGACGTGCCGTGCCGCAGGGTCGGGGAGGTCAGCAGCGCCCCCTGGCGGTTGTAAGGGGGAATGTCGTCCAGCTGGAGTTGGGAGGTCAGGAAATGCTGGATGTCTCGCAGGAGGCTGTTGTACTTGAGGCTGGTTGAGGAGGGGTACAGCTATGAGGCAAGGGGAAAAATGGAAACAAAACATGTGGTCAAAAGCCTATAAAGAAGACAACTTGGTTCTTGATGGAACTTTTTAAAAGAAATTATTGGCTGCAGCACCCATGCATTGGAACTAGCCAGCAGAACCAGGAAGGTTTGGTTGTTGACTGTTTAGACATCTTTGGGACAGGGGCTTTGTACATTTTACATACACACATTGACTCTTAAAAAATTTTGTTGCACTTTTATTTGCCTACTTTTTAACTGTTGGAAACATATTAGACCCTCCTGTACAACACCAGTTGGATGTCGCACGGCCGTATTTTGAGATACAGCCTGTAACACACTGTACAAGCAAAAGTTAACATCAATTTCTCAATTTGTTTTTAACTTTCCGAGGTCGGAAGCTTAATCAGCTTCCTTTCCAATGAGCCAAAAAATCCCACTTTTCAAAAATTGGTCAGAGTGCCTGGTTTTGTGCTGGGCCATATAATGCCTTATACCCCTACAATAGCAAGCAGAGGATGGCGAGACGTCCTTACCTGTTGGTAGCTGCCTCTGTTGACTGTCTCTCGCCTGGTCGCCAGGAGGTATTCCAAGTCCTCCTGGGTTAGACACATCTGGTTGTAGGAGTGACAGTTCACACCCTATCAGGACAGAATGGAAATAAGATACGAAGTTTTCAACCACGCTGCTTCAATATTTTGCCCTTTTTTTATGTATTCACATATATCACTGCGATCGGAAACAAGCAATACTGAAATGATAGACTTGATTTCCAGGCTGAATGCTACGCGTGCTTAGCGCACAACACGCCCGCATGCGGTGAAGCATGCGCGAGGCGCCGTTGTTTACTGCGTGCAAGTACGTTGGCCGCCTGTATCGCATGCAGGCTCGGCAACAACAAAGACTATATTTTTAAGACTACTTCAACAAACAACGTTGTGCCGTGCGTGCACCTAAATGTACTAAATCGAGAGCGCTAACGAAGTAAAAATCAACGCATTTCCACAGTTTTTCTTCTCTTTTTCCGGTTTATTTTGACGGCAGGAATTTTGTGAGATATTTTTTTAAAAACCAGAATTCTGGTTAAAAGCAGAAAAGTGGCATCTCTGAAAATCAGACTTTGCGAGGAAAAGATCACCAGAAAAATCAGAATTTTGGAAATAAATTTGAAAAAGTTGGATTCCCGATTAAAACTGGAAAATGTTCATCTCTGCCCAAAGAGAATTAACACTGCCTAACAATTTAAAGTGCATTAAGTGATATAAACTGGGACAATAAAATATTTTGCAGAATTTCAAACAGTTTTCCAGGTCATCAGTAATTCTTTACAACTGAAAAAGTTGAGCAATGGGAATTTTCTTGTATGAACAAACCTCAGACAAAAATTAGTTTGAAACTTGCATGGAGTTTTTGTTGTTGTATTTTTATATATACATGCGGGATTTCAACCTATAGGGTTAAAAGTAAGAATCTACGCAGTCAAGGAATCAAGCACTCTGTTATGTTTCGGATAAAATAATTCACTTGCCAATATTCCAACATTTAGATGTAAATGTTCCAGTGCAAGGGCGACATCCTTCGCAACCTTTGTCTCAGACAAGAGAATGGCGATGGCGTCATCAACTGCGTTCTGTTTAATGGTCTTGCTTGCCCAGCCAGTTGTGTCACTGTTAGCTTGCAGATGGGGCTGTCCATTAACCTATTCAATTGAATGACAAGAAGTGAGTGGGAGCTCTAACATCAACTGCACTCTGTATAATTGTTTTACTAGCCCTCCTGGTTGTGCCTCATATTATTTTGCAAATAAGGTTTTTCCATTTGGTAAGTTTTTGCCAAATCACTTTTTTGAGATGTGAGGACATAACTGACTCGTATTTGGATGAAGCATTTTTAAAAATACCTCTTTTAAGAACACAAAGACAAAATTCAGCTCCAAGTTTTCAAGCCCTTTCTACAATTCACTTCAAACCACAAAAGTTTTCTTCACTTTCAAAGTCTTATCTTTACCTCAACCACCATTGGATGGAGCGTGGAATTGAAGATGATGTCAAACCCTAAAAGCTGAAAACAGTTCTTGCACCTGAAAACATAAATTGATAAAAATACAAAAAAATCAATAATACAAAGGGGTCGGATTCACTCTTGAACAGCAAAAAAAAGTGAACCTCCATGACTAAATCAGAATAAAGAACACTTTTGAAATTAAATTTACTCTTGATCCTGCTTTTGAAACTGAACCTTTTTATCTGCAATGATGAAAAAGTTGGTGCTTACTTTTAATGTAAGAGGCAATCATTTCACTAATTACTTAGGGGATTGACTGAAATCTGAATGATCAATGAGTAAACTGAACAAAGTTAACTAACCACACAATCAATCGATCAAATTCAGTAAGTCCATATACAGAAAGTGGGATCAATAAATAAATCAATGAGTGAATTGATCAATTTACCTATACATCATCTAGCGACTGACCAATTAAAGCAATACATTCAGTTCACACTAATCCAATTCATTCGTTAAAAATCAATCATCCCAACCCAATTACCCAACCCAACTTATCCCCCCAACCCAATTCAACCCAAACCCAGCTAATCCCAACCTACCCCAACCTACATGTACATAATCACAACCCAACCCAACCCATTTTAATCCCAACCCACCTTATCCCATCTCACGCCATCCTATCCCGTCCCGTCCCAACCCACCTAATCCCTCCCTAACCCAATTCAACCCAAACCCAGCTTATCCCAACCTAACCCAACCCAACCTACATGTACATAATCACAACCCAACCCAACCCAACCCATTTTAATCCTAATCTAACCCAACCCACCTTATCCCATCCCATCCTAACCCACCTAATCCCTCCCTAACCCAATTCAACCCAACCCACCTAATCCCAACCCAACCCAACCTACATAATCACTACCCAACCCAACCCAACCCATTTAATCCCAACCTAACCCAACCCACCTTATCCCATCCCATCCCATCCCATTTTGTCCAGTCCCGTCCCATCCCAACCCAACCCACTTAATCCCATCCTACCCTGACTCGATCCGCGACCCAACCCGATGCAACTCAAACCAAACCCAACCCAACCCAACCCAACTTAACACCAAGCCAGCCCAGCCCAACTCAACCCATCCCGCCCCATCCTATATGCTACTCATCCACAGCCCATCCCAGCCAACAACCAGCCGACCGACCTGTAATGTTCATCCCAGGGATGTGCCGAGAAGCGACCAAAGTGTGCCACCAGTGATGACTCGGCGACCAGCAATGTCTCAACGATGACTGTGGCTAGGTTCTGGAAGACTATCTTAGCGGCGTCACTGCCAAAGTTGTATTTCAGATAATGCTTGAACTGGGCAAGGTACCAAGTCCTGTTGGGAATCTAAAGGACAGAAATGACCAATTTCATAAATGGCTAAGCATCCTAGAGACAATTTTTTATTCAATGAGGCTATCGGAAATCACTGAATATACATTGCTTATAACATATCAGTGAAGAGCAAGACCATTATTAAAATCTACATCCCCTAGACATCGATTTCCATAACAAGTCAACTTTCTATGTTGAGCTTTTAACCATGAAACATTTTAAAGCTATCGGTAGAAGAGGACATACTTATTTGCTTTGGCACTGAAAATCATGTTGTAAAGTTTTAAACAGTTTAAACAGTGAGAATGTATAAACTTTTTTTATAAACCATTTCCTTCAGTACAAAATATAATTAAGAATAAACATTTTGAATAATATATATTCCTTTAAAATGAAACGTGCAAAGCTTTTTCCCACCCAAATTGTCTGTACACAAAAGTAAAAAGATTTTTTTTTAGCAAACTTTATTTCACTTAGATGGTATTCGAATGCTTCCCTCAAACACAAATTCCATCAAAAGTTCATCACTTCAAAAGTTTTTTTTCCCCAATCTATCAAAAAGTCACATTATGACCAACCTTTTTAAATGCTCGCTGGTAGTCGTGCCTGAAGTGAACCAGCCCTTCTGAATGAATAAACGCCCTGAGTGGATTGATAGAAGTGATGAGCACGTAGGCCCTGATGTTGACCGGCATGCCGAAGACTAGTAGGGGGTTGGGGAAATACTGCTGGGCAACTGCCTTCTTAAAACGAAATCTAAAATGGATAGAGAAAAATGAAGATGATACACGTGAATTAAAATGGACCATGCTTGGCATTACTCACACTTCATACTTTATGGGCCTTCTTTATACGTTATGGAATTGCAACAGTTTTAGTTGACAAAAATGTATGCCGATCCTCCTGCAAAGTTACATAGCTACAATCCTGGCCAAATCTCGCTAGGCCCCCAACCCCCTGGCCCCCACTCAATGTTGTCTCTCATTGCGTGGTGTGTGCTCCATCAGCTGGAGCAAACAACATTGACCAGGGGAGTGGGGGAGCGGGGGAGTGGGTGACAGTGGGAGGCTAAGGAAGTGTCCCAATTGTTTTGGCCGGGATTGTAGGCCCTTATAAAACAGGTTTGTTTTTTTAAAGCTAAAATAGAGTGAACTGTGTACCGGTAGCAAGTCGTTTTGTTTAAAAATGCACTTTTCTTACACCTCATCAGAAGGATGGAAACCATTAAGAAATTTTGTTTCTGACATCATGCAAAAAATTTACCTTGAAAGTAATACAGAGATGGCTTGGGTAGTAAAGATTTTTAAAAGTGGACCAATTAAGGGAAGTCAAAATTAGTTTGAATGCATGCAAGCTCTCCAAGTTTTCTGAAAGTAGATCAGTCAACAGACAGACAAAAATATATGTCATACATGTACATCTGTTTCATTCAAATTTGCTGTACAGTATAGCAAAAGAAATGAAACACAATTCCAATTCCTTCACACTGTCAGATATTTTTACCATAAAGAAAATATTTCAACTCGAACAACAACAATGGGAGAATATTAATAATAATCGGCATTTAAGAACGCTCTTTTTAGTACACTAAATCACAGCGCTTACAGTATTATTATTACCCCTGATCATTGGGCCAATTTAACATTCCAAATACCATCTCAGCTCCCTGAGGAGTATACAGCTCGATGCTGCCTGTTAGGCGCAAGCAAGCTAAATCAATCACATAACCATCTCTGCCCTCACAGGTACCCATTTGCCCCTTGGTGGAGAGGAGCAATGAGTGACAAAGTGCCTTGCTCAAGGACACACGCACCATGACCCCGCCAGGACTCGAACCCACAACCCGCAGAATATTCAAAATATGAGAAGCTCACTCTTTAAGTCTTGCATAGTCTCTTTCTTTGGTGGGTTGTAGCACCTGTATGTTCCCCCCGGGGCTAGTGGATTTGAAGACCCACCGTACGTCGTCGCCTAACCCATCGGCCACGCCCAGGAACTGGTCATACTGACTGGGCATGACCCAGCACATCGGCGAGAGGTAGGTTTTCTTTAAAGCTGTCAAGACAAAGGAGATCAATTACACTGGAGGAATAAATCTGTTCATTTGGTCTTTGTGATAGCGAAGACAAATCTGGTTACCACAGTAAATGACGGTTCATACTTCATGCGAATGAGAATTTGACGTCACGTCACGAAATTCACAGGAGTTGAAATGTGTTCAACTGGTGCGAATTCGCAGTACGAAAACTTGCCCTAACGACACAAATTCGCATTCGTGTATGCTTTTGCGCCAAGTTTGAACCGGCCTTAGGAAAGTATTATTGCGGTGGTACGTTCTGCAATTATATCCAGGGGAGTCAGGTTGGCACAGTGGTTCTTTCCTCGCGTTCCATCTATATGGCCCGGGTTTGATTCCTGCCCTGGTCAACATGTGGATTGGGTTTTCGGTCCCTACCAGATTTCACGGGTTTCCACCAAAATACATTCTTCTGGGCGTCCCTCCGAAATCTAAAGCAGTAATTTCTTCTCATTGTCTTCTCTCTTCAGGTTTCTGGAGGCTTGCGAGCTAATGTACCAAGGGTGCTTTTGAGGAATATGATACCAAACAAAAGCAGCCCCTACCAATAGATAGAATTTTTTTTGGGGGGGGGGGTTATAAATGAACAAAACTTTCAGCAGAATTCATTAGTGTTTCTTAAACATCTAAGTTCTATCCTACCTGGAATTCTCTTTGCCTGGTTCATGGTGTAACAAAAGCCATCCTTCTTCCATAAAACGTTCCGGATTCCTGGGATTCTGTTGATCTGATTAATCAGAAAGAAAAAGGATTTAAAAACTGATTTGTATTTTAGCTATTGAAAATAATGAACCTACCCAATTCATTTTCAGTAATACCAAGGTGAAGAACGTTGAATATCAACTCAGAAATAACGAGTGAAGATTCCACTCAGGAACAGGGACCCTCAAGCATTAATGATAACATCATCTATACAACCGAACTCTCAATAAGCCCAACGTAACACTCCCTGCTCAAAACTTAAACTACAGACAAATCCTTGAACACGCCATGCCAGAAATAGAAAACCTGGGATGAATCATTTTCGCCTGTGGGCCAGTGAAATATACATTCTCCTCAAACCTCCTTAGGTACATGTAATGTTAGACCATACCCAAACTATTTGGCTACGGCTAAGGCTTGCTTATACACATGCATCTATGCAAGCAGGCGTAGCCATGTTATTCAGACACAGCCATAAGCCTCACCTTTTGGCCGCTGTGTAATTTTGTAAAGGAGCTTCGGTCCAGACACTCTTCAGAGTCTCCGTCCGTGAAGGCAAGGCAGAGGAGAATCATCCAGTCGGTGGAGGACACCAGGCCTGGAGGGGAGGTAGAAACAAATGAGGCAGTTGGATGAATCAGATTTCATTATAACTACAGAGTTCTTTACTTTTGTATCACACTCAATCGCTATTACGATTAACCCGTTAGCATGTGTACTGTACTTTATAGTACCACATGTATTGTTGATGTCCCATACCATGGCGCGGCCCCTAACATTGCGCACTTTGATTTTCCACCTCTAGTGCTTTGATCGAGCTAAAAGGTTCGCCTCAATTTCACAGTAAAAGAAATCTCATCAAGCTCTAAACATTCCCGTTCATAAACCTTGAGTTTACCTAACTGTTACAAAGTTAGCAGAGAAATTTCATTGTGGCGTGATTTTCCAATTTTATTTTGAAGTGCACAATGAAAGCCCCTTTTAAAACACGCCCAAAAATAAGAAAACGATTTTCAGACAAATTTGTTGTTGGAAAAAGTGTAGACCCAGTAACTGTGGCACTAGAGCTCCCTTTTTACTGGGTCTAGGTAAAGTGGAGATAATAATGATTTATTAGAATTTGTCAACTTTAAAGAAACACTTCAATGCTAACTTGGGATTTTCCGCGATTTGTTCAAGTGCGTCATGGTAGGGAACACTTGGCCCAGTAAATTTGTGCCCAATTTCCGAACACCAACAATTTTGAGTGTTGGAAATTGCTCACAAGGGTTCAACAGCAAGCATTATTAAGTTCAAAATATTAACTGAATGAATACGAATTTGTCAGCAAAGAGGTTTAGCAACAATGCATGAGGAATGTCATGTTAGGGGACTACACTGAATCTATAAACCGTACAGAGTTTTGGCCAGAAAATGCGGAAAATAGCCAAGTATATGCAGAAAAATTCAGATTTGCGTAAGAGTCTCGTTAAAAAGGGTTAGTCTACACCTGAGTCAGACTGTGTCTAAACACTCATATAACTCTTCTTTTAAAAGAACTCTGCAAACAATGCCTTGATACTGAGTTTACTACTACACAACTTTATATTTCATATGCTCGGGACTTGAAAAAGGATTCTGTAGTTTTGTTTGTACAGCACTAAACCACAAAGTGATTTGCCTGTCATCAGATAATGTGATTGATTGGTATCAATCAATCAGCTGAAGATTGAAAATGTCAAAAACAAAAAAGGCCATGAAAATCAGCAATAATCTAAAAAGGGGAAAATTGTAAAGGCTATCTAACTTTGAAAATTTGTATATTTCAGGTCCACTTTTTTTTCTCTCACTATAAAAAGATGAGTTTGGTACAAAAGTATGATCCATACATGTAAGTATAAATGAATATTTGACGCTTCTACAATTTCACTAACTCTTATTATAATTTTTGATACCTTTGAAAACAAATTTCTTTGGGAAAAAGGAAAACAGTACAAAATGTATATATCCTGTCAGATATTACAAAAACTTGGAAATGCTGAAAACAAACTGCTCATTATTTTCGAGATAAACAACTTTCCGCCCAAATGACTTTCTTTCATTTCACTGACACTATTTCCAAATGCCGATGTCACTTAAAAAAAAACATTTTTGTGTACCCTGGGGAAAAAAATTTGACAACGTCATAAAAAAAGACAGCACCTACCATTGTCCTTTGCATCAATGGTGCTATTACTGACAAAGTCAGCATCAATGTCATTGGTGGGCCGCCTGACAATAAAACCCTGTTTGGTAAAAGCCTTCTCATAGAGCGGCAGATCACGGTCGATCACCTCCGCCTGACCCCTGACCTCCACCGATCTCGCCTTCAATGTTTTGGCTTGTTCCAGAAGCATTGATTCCAGCTGTTAAAAAGAACAGGAACAGGTAAATACACTTTTTTCAGATTGAATGAGTAGGCGTATTTTTTTTTTTTTTTCACAATCAGTTTGGAGAACTGCAGTTAGCCTGCAAATGCCAACTGAATTTTATTGCAAGGCAATTTAGAATTGGGTGCATGTATTTTTCGGAATAAAGTTACATCCCGACGCCACTTCAGCAGTTGTGTACAAAGTCCATGGAGAGTCAAGAAAGTTTTTCCTAACAAAATTGGAAATGTTTCTCAGTCCCACAATCATGTCTTTTCAACATCTTTGCAATGACTGACCTTAATTGAGATGATATATGAAGAAAAACGTGGCGTCAGGTTGCAACATACTTTCCGTATGTTTAAGTGCTAATTAAATACTATTTCATGGGGATATGTGCAAATTTTTGGAAATAAAAAGTTTAGATTAAAATGAAAGGTCAAACATTGGTTGAAATTAAGTGTGCTTTCAGGAAATCTGAATTAGGAATTAGTCAGAAAACTCTTGCAGTTTCACACCTGAAATTCAGCAGTTTGGATTAAGTTAATTTTTTTGTGAGAAAATCATACATGCCACTAACCGAACATCACTAGTGCTGATTAGTTAATTATTTAACAACTAATCCAGAAATCAAAAGAAAAAAGTAGAGCTTACAATTCTAAACAATGGACTGTTTGTGGAGTCAATGATATTTTTATAAAATACTTTTTAGGAGAGAAAGATGCAGCACTCTAAATCATGTAATTACCAGAACAAAAAAAGTAATTAAACCCAATTAAAAAAGGGACGATTTCGAAATTAAACACGAGGTTTTACCCTGAGGTACCCCACAAAACCCTGCTAAACCTTGTAAATCCTCATCATGGGCGTCGACAGGATTTTTCCAGAAGGGGGCAACATTTTTTTTGGCCAAAATATGCTTGTATTTCTCAACACATTCTCGATTTATCAGTTTCAGAAGGGGGCAGGGACATTTTGCCCCCCCCCCAACTCATTTAATTTACACCACTTTGTCTTCGCGCCTCTTTTTTTTTTTTGCTTTTCCGGGGGGGGGGGGGGGGGGGGGGAAGTGCCCCCCTTGGCCCCCCCCCCCTCGCTACGCCCATGATCCTCATAGTAAACCTCAAGTTACTGCCTGTTTAATTCTGCATTCACCCTTGATTAAGTGCGGCTAAAAATATAGTTTTGTTAAAAATTGATGAATAAGTGATTTTTTTCCATGTATTCATCCTTTCAATTCCTTGACATGAAATGACATTTGATTTGAATAAAAAAGGTCTGAATTTGAAAATGGAGGAAAACACTTCCGCACATACAAATACAAAAAACATAACTCGCGTACAAAATACAAATTCAGTTATAAGTATGGAATGTAACATGAATAAAATTACTTTTGTTGCTACAATTAACCCATGTCAGTTGAACACTCACAGCTGGCTAAGCAAGCCAGCTTGCCGGACTGTTTGATAACATTCCGTGAAAATTATTACAACTGTGGAATCTATAAACATATGATATAAAATGCGCACGCTTTCCCTGCTGTTACCACTTCCAGATTGCCCTTGAGGTCTTTTTACGGGGTGGGGTGTTAGGCAGGGTCAGAGCTCTGACTCAACCAGTTCTGTATCTGGAGGCATAAGGACGTCGACATGACCATGCCACCCACAATAGCAGCTTTAAGAACCGTTTGGGTTGCATCATAAGACGTGTTGCAATCAACATGGGGCCACTGTGAGCAGTAATTAGGCACACCTTTCTCCCTTTTACCACTTTGTACTGGGATTGCCAGTGGAAATTGCAAACTGAGTCTTAAAAGCAGTAGCACACAGCTCCCCAAACGGTTATAATTTTTAACTTTAATAGAAAAAAATGCATGTGCAAATAACGCCCAAACGTATCAAAGTTACTTGAGCCATTGCAGAAAATAAAACTCATCACTGCCGCAAATAGCCGAGTTAAGAATTATCGCTTGCAAATGTTGATGCCTGCAAAATCCATTGACTACGAACCCTCGGCATTCGAGTGGCATTTCTGGACCGATTCCAAATCATTCTTGAATTATTTTCAGCACATTCATGACTGCAAATCATGAACAGAATGCCAAGCTGATATTTCCAATGCATAAATTATATCCTTTCCCTAACAAGAACCTAGAGACGTCATAGGCCACATAATTTACTTCATTCCGCGCCCCTCTCAAACCCTTCAAAGTTCGGAGACTACGTACATCTCTGACATTTTTGGGGCTGGAGGATTCAAGTGAAAAGACCAGCCGCTTCTTGTACCCATCTGTGCAATATAAACAAGCACTGTTCACACTTCCAGTGACAGCCAGGAGTCATGCGTTGATGTGACATGATCTACAGTAGCCTAGAAAATATCTGATTTATTTTTTATCTGTGTAACATTTTCCCTATCAACGTGGCCCTGTAAATGCAAATGATATTTTTTTTGTGAGGACCTGAGAACAAAAGAGGACCACATAGTGCAGGTAGTGTAGGGCTGTCCATTTTCGAATAATTTAGCATTTGATTATTCGAAACTGCACTTGACCGAATATTTGAATATTCAATACTCTCCAATCAAGTTTTCTGCAGCTGCCTTCCTCACAGGTTGCATACAAAGCGTGCTGGTAAAAATTGGCATGCGGCGATGGGTATTATGGGCCACTGGAGTGTTTTGCAGTATTGTACACCCTTTCTTGTTCCGTAATTGTGGGGACTTACACTCGTCGCCGCAAGGTATTTGTGGGGACCGAAAAATGCTATGGGGACAGCAGAAAGTCCCCATAACTCGGTTCTAATTTGCCTAACAATAAAAAACTTCCCCATAACTCGGTGTATGCCTACCCTGTGTAACTGTCAAGGGATTTTACCCAGCTAAAAGAATAGGACCAATGAATAGGCATTAACCAAAAAGTTACTATCGACAAAAAAGTGGCATCTGATAATTAAAAAAAAAAAACTTTACAAATTTTTTTACAATAACATCACGTTGTGCACAGTATGCATGTTTTTTTTTCTTTTCAAATGTTCAAACCAGCAAAAAGCTATTCGAATATTTGATTAATGATTGAATCTTGGGTACATTCAGGACAGCCCTAAGAAAAAGAAAAAAAAAATTCTGCTTCCGATCACATGGCATTTGAAAATACAATGTAGGGTAGGTAGGTAGGGAAACAATTTGTTTTTTTTGCCAATCTTTTTTGTGTACGATCATATGGAGGCGTCTGTGGTTAGTCAAGGGTAAAAGGTACAAATTGATGGTTTTTGGTGTTTTTTCCTCAATTTTCGCATAAGAAATTATGGTAGGGGCTATCAGAATAGGGTAGGTAGGGAAATCAGAAGCAGAACTTTTTTTTTCTGAATTTTTGTGTGTGCGATCATATGGAGGCGTCTGCGTGTAGTCAAGGGTAAAAGGTAGAAATTGATGGTTTTTGGTGTTTTTTCCTCAATTTTCGCATAAGAAATTATGGTAGGGGCAGAAAAAAGCAGAACTTTTTTTTTTTTGGCCTAAGATAGTGAGACATTGTGTAGTCTTGCCCAGATCCACAAAAAGTTTACCCCATCTGAAAAAAAAACAGGTTTAGTGGAATTGTGGGGTTAGCGTCATGAAGAAGAACACTCAAGGAAATCATGATCCCAAATTCCGGTCGAAAGAGTGTTCAAAGTGCAAGTAAAATGAGTTTTTTCTCCGTAAGTTTTTCTTAACTACATGTACCGGTATTCTGAAAATTATGGTACATGAAAACAAAGGAATGCCTTATTGCCTTTACACAACGAACATGTATGTTACTTGTGCGTGCGTGGGGTATCGTAAGTTGTGTCCCAGTACCACACAAAGAATCACTACCAGACTTTTTGTGTAAAGTGCCACATAAAAACTTGTACTTTCTGAGTCACTGTGACAAGTAGCACATGTGTGCACGGGTTCCTGAGTCACACAGCAGGTTTATAATTTGCTTCTTTCCGCCAACCATACCGTACATCATACATGATACATCACAAATGAAAGAAAACTTATGGACAAGCCCATACCATAGTCATGAAAAAAAAATCTAAACAACACTGGGATGTTTAGTTGAAGAAAAAAAAACTGGATTCCTTTCAGCAGAAACCAGTTTTCCAAAGTAAGCCAAAGTGGGGTGAATAGGTGCATATTTTTCAAAGGGCGATGCAATCAAAAATTAATGTTTATAAAACCATTTGGTCAAAATGCCAAATCATTAGACTTCTATAAGATCTGTTAGTGAAACTTTCAAATAATTTCAAAGATCAGATAAGCGTTGTGATGTCTACACATTTTCTGCTTACAAACGCTTTTGTTTAGAATCAGTCATAACCAACCAATGATTGATCCTTGGCATTATCTAACTCATGAAATTCTGATTAAATTTGTTTATTGTCCAACGCTCTCCCAAATCGAGAACAGCAGAGTAAGTGTGTCTGTCAACAGTTTATGGACATTAGCACTTTTCTCTGGATCAGTTTGGCACTACCCAACCCCCTTTTTCTATTTACGTGACGAGAAACCTATGACCCATTCTTAATCCCAGCTAGGCTACCGATGAAAACACTACCAGATGAAAACACTACCAGATCGGTCACGATTATTGGGACATTTTAACTGTGGATTTTTTCTATGACTTCAGAGCAATTTGTGAGGCAGCTGGCAAATAACAACTAGATGTTTTCATACAAAACACACTCATGTCAATTCCAAAAGCTTTTCAGTTGATTTTTTGTTCGGGGTGTTGTTGATTCATGTATTGAGAATCAAGCATAACAGATGGTGATGTAGGTCACAAAGCGTAACCATGTAAACATAATATTTTTTGCATGCAGTGAAGTTGACATGTGTGTACAACTCAACATTCTCACTACTTGTTATTAATGTGCATGAAAAATATCTGTTGAGCTTAAGTGTCAATACCAAAGTGCCAAGTTGAAGATAGCAGGAATGATAAACACCTTTGGTTTTTTTATTAGGATTTCGAGTGCTTTTTACAATTTTATTTGAGCCAATAAATTGTTGACAATATAGGGACCCCTTTTGTGCATTCAGTGGGGAAAATATTTTCCAATGCGCCAGATTTTGAGGCCAGATTAAGTACTTAAAGCAATAAAGTCAAGGGTATCTACATGTACATGCACAACTGTTTTCGTGCCAAAAGTACCAGGTTAATGCTAACCTGTGCAGGTTCAGTGGCTTATGTATGTATTACACTTTGCCATTTTTTTTTCCGCGGCGGGTGTGAAACACGCCGTGGGCTTGAGCTGCTGTTGGTTGGTGGACAGTTTACTCGGCCATAAATTGTATTCATGCAACTTGAGTATTACAGCTTTGCATTCGAAGACCGGTTTTGAAAACACTGATGGGCATGTGTTTAATTTGCATATTTTTGCATTAGATCAAGCCCCATTCGGGTGCACGGACGTACAGTGCCGTATTAAAGCCGTCTTCACACATTACCCGGCTGCCGTGTGTTAATGTACATGTACCACTTGTTTAAACTGAAATGCCCGCACTTCATAACACATACAAGATATCATTTGTCCACCATACCCTGCTTTTGAAAACATTTCTGCATACATAAAAACTGTGACTTCTCTTAGTTAGTTTCAAAAGTGAGATTCTCACCTGCTGCAAATGTTTATAAATGGCACTATCCTCAATTGCAATCTTCTCGTCTTTCTGTGATTTTCTCTTTTTCACCGTACCATCTTCCAAATTCAATCGGTCCATCTTCGGCTGTCCAGCGCCTGGGATGATGAGACCGCCGGCCCCACTGTCACCAAGTATCCAATCCACTTTCAAAGTTCTCTCCAGAGTTCTGTCCGATTTGTCGCCGGATTGGATCAGCATCATGCTGTCCGACTGGTAGATGAGGTAGAGCGAGAAACTCGCGAGTCCTAGAGCCGAGAGGAGAAAGTTGGCGAGCCGCGAGCGACAGAGACGGCTCAGCTTGTAGCGCAGATATCTCATTCTCTCGGATCCTTCCGTCTCGACTGCCTAGCCTAGCCGATCTCTCTGCCAGTTGTTTATCAAACACAACTCCTCCACTTCGTCATTGCCAGAACATCAAGTTCCATTGACACGATTTGTTTTGCCTCGGGCACTGGTTTACGTTAAGCCAATTTTTTTTGGGGGGGGGGGGGCTGGCCTTGGCATTCGGCATCAAATCAATGGGAACACCCAAGTTGATGTCATTTTCTTCTCCAGGATTTTACTATACCATTGTACTCGAACCCTGTGAAAAGAAAGGAAAAAAAAGTCAGAAATACAGATGGCATAATGATGGACGGATTCAACTACGGCAGGGTAAGCCAAGAGCCTTCACCTTGTAATCGTGGTGCTTTATCACAACACTACAAATACACCAAACCAAACAATGTACATGTAGGCCTGCTGAATTATTACAGAAGGGGAGGCTGTACAAATATATTCTGTTGGAGTGCACTGTACTCTTGTCTTCTTTTTTTTTTACAACAATCTGTGACTTGGAAGTGGAGTGAAGATTGGGGTTGGTGAGTGAGGGAAAGGATTTGAAATAAATCACTGCTTTGTTTAAACAACTGCAACATCTTCAAGTCAACAGCAGAAATTGCAAGTACATTGTAACTGTGTAGTATGTATGCACGTCTCGATTAAATGTAGGTTTCCTTAGTCAGTCAGTACTAGCAGAACATTTCTAAAAGGGGGAACAAAAGGTGGGGGACGGGGGAAACAAATACCCTTCCCCAAGTGCTCCTCCTATTCTGCTGCCAGTTAGTGTTGTGCATTGGGTCAGCTTGACCAGGCCAAACCGACCCGAAATATTATAGATGGAAACCTAATCTAAAGTGAAACCAATCTGAACTCCCTAAAATTGTCCCGACTTGACCCACTCGACAAAAATTCAAGGAAAACCGACCGGAACCGACCCGAAACCGAACTGACCCAAAACACACCCGAAAATCTGGCTTGGGCAACTGTGTCCGCTTTTTGTGCCTAAACTGACCCGCGTCACGTGAAAATCGTCCTCTCTCAGTATAACTAAATCATACCATACTCACGGCACTCACAATGTGACCTTACTGGTGGGCCTGCATGTTATTGACTGTGCGTGACTTATAGACTGACCACATTTTGGTCGTACCAGGCACAGTGACTCTGCAATAAATATTGCACCTTGTGAATTTCCTAACTATTTCGTTTTTGTTTGGTTTATTTTGGTTTGTTTCGAGTTTTTCCCAAAGTGGCTTAACCAATGACCCGACCCGAAAATCTCAAACGCAAACCGAAACTGACCGGACCTGACAGAAATGACGGACAAACCGATCCGGCCCGAAGTCGGTTTTGGGTCGGGTTTGCACAATACTACTGCCAATGTGTTCAGAGTTAACTCCTGAACATGGCGAAAAAAAGTCCCTATGATACAATTAAATCCCTCTTTGAAATCTGTTACTGTTACTGTCATTTGAAGGCTCTACTGTTTTTTACTGAATGTATGCTAACAGAATTTTCAAATGACTGTGTACAAATTAACTCACAGCTTCATTTTAGAAGAATGCAACAAGAGTACGCTAATGGTGGAATGGTATTTGCATTGGGGAGATATGTAAATCAGGTTTTGCCCTTCACAAACCAACCTACCCCAGCAACCTCGGTGGTTGAGTGGTAATAAGACATATGCACTAGCAAGCAGGAGGTCATGGGTTCGAGTCCTACCCGAGTAAAGATTCTTTTCTCGCTAGCCCTTGGACAACACTGAGTATACAGTGCTTATAAAATATGTTGGTGAAGGACAGTAATCATGCTTGACTATGGCATTCTTACCCAAGTCACCAGAAACAGCTGAGAAAAAAAGACAAACTTGGTTTGCGAGGATCAAAACACGCCCAAGATGAGGGTGTACTTACCAGGTTGCAGAGAATTACAACAACAAAAAAGAAAGAAAAAAAAGAAGGTTTAATTATTTTAATTTGATTATTTCACATTGTAAAGGGAACTTCCCCTCCCTTAGCAAAATGAATGAAACAGGAACGACAATCCAGTTTGATGGATGACCTTGAGGAACTGAATCAATCTCGAGCCAAGAATTTTCACTGATGATAAGACCGGTGCATCTCCAGTTGGATAAATAATTATGATAAATCTTTTCCACTCCTTCAACGGCTTTTTGACATTCCTCTGGCCTGGCCGATAATCTAGTTATTGCCCATGAGGCATCGCTAATCCGGGTCTGTAAACATAGATGTAGCAAGGGGGAAATATTCCATTTCGATCAGCAGAAAAAAATAATCAATCAATCAAAATTCTGACAGCCTGATAAGCATTACCCATCAAGAATTGACATTTTGTGATGTGCAAAAATGTTGGCCCATCACTTACATATCTCCCCAAATTTCTATCAAGTGATGGGAGATGGATAAGGTACATGGACCATCTATTTTGTTCAAAAGTCTTGGATTAGTATCCTGCACACATGAATTATGGCTTTATTTCTATTTTTATTTCAGTGGGCAGACAGACTGCATGTGCTCTATGCCCACAAACTGTAGACTAACCCATCCTTCCCCTTCTCAAAAAAAAATGATAACGTTGCGATAATGCCTGAATATAGGTTTCTGCAACGTAACCATACAGATACAGATACAGAACATAATAATGTGTATGAAAAAAATTATAAACAACATATTGACCAGTATTAGTGCTCAAGGCACTACAACATTTAACAATTGTTGACTGCTGTGATGTGGGATATGCCATTTTAACACCTGAGGGGCGCATAGCACCCCGAGGGGGTTATAAACGGCATATCCCACATCACACCAGTCAACAATTGTTTTCTTATATTGTGCCAATAACTCAAAAAGGTAAATGCTTGTAACTTACTGTGTGAGAAATAAATTTAATCACTGCGATGTTACTTTTGATAACTGAAGGTTTTGATGTCCTGCCGGACATGAGACTGAGCATTTGACGTTGCAGGTCATTGCACAAAGCTGTCGCGCTGGCAGGTTCCACACGCGCACAATGCGCGCAACGAACACAGTGATTTCACCCTCAGTGTGCGATTGGCATTTTTATTCTCCAGACACGTGGCCGTCCCACACAAAGAAATTACAGTATCCAGGCACACGATATAACAACAGCATTTTCACTGCGCGCACAAAACATTCCAAAGACCACCTTATAACTTCCTGGAAAGTATGATACAGCATGATCGGCACAAAGCAGCTAAAATCAGTCACTATAATCACCTCTGCCCTCACAGGTACCCATTTACTCCTGGGTGGGGTGAAGCAATGAGTGACAAAGTGCCTGGTCCAAGGGTGGAGAGAAGCAATGAGTGACAAAGTGCCTGGCCCAAGGACACACACGTCTCACATACATGTAACTCTCCAGAACAATTAGGCATCTTTCCCTTTGTCACTAAAGCACACAAAGTCAAGGTCCGAGGACTGTTTTTCAACAAAAGAGTCTGTTTGTTGTCCCTTTGTCTGTCTGTCCTCTGGGTGTGTCCAATTCACGTACACACAGACACCACAAAGGATGCGCTGGACTCCAACCCACAACCAGCACAATTACCTAAATATCTAGAGTTTGATATTCCAGACAACAAGGCTGCAACATTCCACTTCATAATTCTGACGGTTACACCTCTATGTTCCGACACCCCTATGTTCCGACTGTACATATTCCTATTCCTAACCCTAACCTTAACCCTAACCCTAACCGGGAGTAACACAATCTAGGTTGTCGGAACATAGGGATGTCGGAACATAGAGCAGTCACCATTCTGACACCCCTTATAATTCTGAGCTTAACACCATAACTACAAACTACTTATAATTACGTGTACTCACCATGTGTGACTCATTAATACTCAGGCGGAAACCAATCTTCAAAACAGCACACACGCAAAAATGAAATCCAGTTGCCAATCTCAATGAGAGCTACCAAGCAAATCAAACACAATTTTCCACCACGCCAAACCGGCTTAATTAAACCTACCGCTCTCCGCAACTCCACTGATCCAATGCAATTTCACACCTATAGTTTCCGAACAACCCATCAAAACCACAACGATACGACCAGCACGGCCCTACTTTCAGCTAATGCAAATATGCATCCCTTTGGTACAATTACAGAATTTTTTTTTTTGGTTGTTTGCCTCGGGTGTTTGGCCGTGCCGGTCATTGCACTTACGGCTTTCAAACCCTGGCCACTGTGCCAAGTTCAATGCTATAGGCCTACCGTTAGATTCCTACCAGGCGTCCAATCGACAACTGCTGCGATCAATTTCTGGGCTAAAATAAATAACTCGGGGCTTTTGAATACAACTCTCCAAAGGGACCGGTTATAGCATTACCGGTGATTCAGATAATTATTATGTGGGCGGGAGAACAATTCTAACGACCAAAAGAGCAAGTGAAAAGCTCTTGGTTTGCTGTTAAAATAATATTAATTTGTGTCAATTTGTTCATACAAAATAATAATTTAAACTGGACAATTATTGACAGGTTTACTCTTTTTATAGCTGCAATGCTGAAAATGATAAATTCCACAAAATCATGCTGTTCAAATCAGGTATTTGTACTTTGTACCATCACGGTTATTCTACCAGCAGCCTGAACAAATGAAGCCAACAAACTCTATATTTGTATAAAAAGATACACTTTATAATACCTGATAGGTAACACAAATTTTGACGAGGGTGGGGGCTAAAGCACTATTAAGTAGTAAATGTTGTTGTTTTAATATGAGACACGTTTTTTTTTAACATGGACATAATATTGAACTTGGAGGGAGAGTCGCATTAGGTAGATCACGATCAAGCCTCCTATGCAAACATACATTCTGTGCAAAGTTGTCCTTTTAGTCAAAATCAATCAAGTGACGGTTTCTAACAGTCAAGAGCTCCCAGCCTACATAAAGCAGGATTGACTGGCTGTGACTGTTTATGTAACTTGAAACAGCTGTGCTTTAACTGTAGGTGATTGATAAGCTAACTGATCCACTTTCCTGCTTTTGTCAGTTGACTGAATTTGACCAGTCACAGTGCTTGCTTGAAATATGATCTGACTGTTAGTGACTTGCCTGTGTAAAAGGCATGGCAGGGAAGAGGATTGATTTTTTTTCAACTGTCTGTGACTATTCAGACAGGAGGAGGAAAATGTTGCTGTGCATTCATCTAGGAACTTACTGACAAATCCATAAAGCTATAAAACATAATGATTTGGTTGGCGAGGTTGGCGAACCAAC